GGGCCTTTTGCCTATATTAGGGCAAGGAGAGAAAAATTAGAAGATAAAGTTGTCATTTTCTCCATCCTAAGCTACTCCAAGGACTCTTCATAATCCACCAAAGAGTGCTGATTTTCATGCCTCTGAGCTCTTATAAAATCAATAGATCTGTTGTTTCTTGGAGCTTTTGAAGAGCTTCAGCTTGTAGATTTTTTTATATGATGAGATTCTCCATTCTTCAAAAAGATGTTGGTATAGTCATGTTGATGATTTACTATTCATTGCAAAAACTATATAAGACAAAATTCTCTATATAAGAACAAGCATCAAAAGGAGGGAGAAGAATTCGAACGTAAAATGATAATTTTACATCACAAAATATTGGAGTATATGTTTGACCATTGAAAGTGATCTATTATGTTGAAAATATTTATTATTAATTATTAAAAAAATCCTATTAATTTATGGAATTTTTTTAATATTTAAAATTTTCTTTATAATAAGAAATGAGTCTAATTGAGATCCAACTTAGACAAAAAATATAATATATATATATTTTTTTAATTATGAAAAATAAACATACTATATTATAAAGTCTTTTAATTGAATTTAATATTTTTATAAATTTTGAATATTAAAAAATCATGTTTTATTAATAGTTTCTAGAATTCCTCCTTAGAAAACTAAAATTTCTTTTTCCCACACTAGGTAACAAGGTATTATTATCTTTTTCCTTTTTTTAGTAGCACTCTTTAGAGTGACTTCACATGAAATATCAATACAACTTAAAAATTCATCCTAGTACTAAGAAGATAATTTTCTTTTATTTTTTTAGGAATCTTAGTGCTTTAAGAAGCTTGTGACAAAGTTGCTCTTGTATTGTCACTTTGTTGAGCGATTTCATAACATGTGGATTTATTTTTTTGTTGAGGTTCTATTTGAAAGTTTTAGTAATATGCTATTTATAGTTTTAAAACTTGATTATTGAATTTTAAATTTCTAAAATTTGATTTTCCAAAGATTGTGTTGGTCAACACTTGGGTCAACTTGTTGAATAGTCTTTGTAATTAGGTTGTCAATTTAATATGCTTTTATTGAAGTCACTTTGAAAACTGTGTCAGCATGAATCTTTCTTTGACCCTCTTATATATCAGGGCATTTCACCCATGTCAAAGATCTTTTGAGATGTTTGACGTGCCAAATAAATGGACAAAATATTCTTTTTGTATCTCTTGATATTTAGTCAGAACAGACCCATGTTGACACAGTTTCTTTCTCGTCTAGTTGGGTTGGCACATTAATTTTCTAGGTTGATTGGGTCAACACTCCTATTTTCTCTGTAATTTATTTTTGAGACCTTGTTCTTTTGTTCTAATTTCAATTTTCTTCTGATATAAGTCTTTGATGACAACTCTTTTCTATATATAATGTCTGAAAAATGTAATCCCACATCAAGTGAGCTAGACCTCATAGTTTAGCACTTCATGTATGTACTATTGCAACAAAAACAGATTTATAAATAAATTTTATTGTCATAATTTTAGGATTACTTGACAACATCAAAATCGTTACACCAACAAGCTGAGCAAATGCTAGGTTTCATGGGGCCGTATGATTCTTATGGAGGACAAAAGGGTGACTCTAAAGGTGTCTAGGGGTGGAATAAAAAAAATCATGAGATGTATTAGATCAGATTATCTTATTTGCTACATTTCATGCTATAATCAATTAATAAAATATAATTGGAAGACTAAAATAATCATAATAGTAAATTTATTTGAGGATCTCATTAACTCTTTTAATCAACTAAAATGCAAGGTAATTAAAGATCAAGCAAGACTACACAAAGAAAGCAACACAAAAATGGCACACTAGTTCAGTGTGACTTGGCCCATGATTGACATCTACCATCTTAGGAACCCTTGATTTCCTAGGGTTACATAAGTATATATGAAAACTCCATCCACTATATACTTATAAATCTACATGCCTAATAGTTATCAGCATTATCATTTATTTCTCGCAACCAAATAGCTAGCAACCATATTGGTCATTGTAATCACCCTACAACTGGCTATCCTCTGCTTTATTGTTCTTGCCCACCATACCATTGTACTTAAACAATTAGATGGTACAACGAATGGGTTCAATGATAACAATAAGTACTATAAAACTTTAACACAGTATGATTCTTCATAAATTTTTATTAATAGACTATCAACTTTTACATCCAATTAAAGGTGTTCAAGTTTTATGTTGGTTAGGATCCTATCATTGGTGGCTTAGTAAGGTTCAAAATTCAAGTAATTGGCTTATGCTTGACTATATTCAATAGTAAAAATTCTTTGCATATTCTTGCTATCAAATTTATGGCCTCAACGATTGGTAGACATGTAGTTGTGTCTCTCTACAACTCATCATCTTTTAAGATGACATGAAGTTTCATCATCTTTTATAGTCTTTCAAATAGTTTCGAACAGCTTATAACCATTAAGTAGGAATTAAAATACTGTATTTCTGGGTGTAGTCTTTTATGTTGTGTTTACTCTTAGAAGCTTTTGTAAAGAGTATATGTACGCCTATAATTTTGAGAAGTATTCTAAGTCTAATTTCTTTTTATCATTTTTTTAATGATTCTACGTATAACTTTGTAGCACAGAACCATCGGAGCATGAGTCATAATCCTTGAACCATTAATCTCACATTCTCCCATTGTTGTAGCCATCACCTGGCCTTGAACCTATTTTCTAGGCTTTTCTCTGAACACATTTCAAATTTGTCACAGGTGGGTTAGTCTCTAGCAATCCCGGAGAGTCCGGCCTAGCCTTTGCAATTTTTTGATGCAAGACATCCATATTCCTTCCCATACGGGGTGCTTCCACCATGGCTACAAGGTGACCTTTGGAAGGGCCCCAACCCCTTCCCTAGCCCCTTCCCTAGCCCCTTCCCAGGATGCCCGTCCTATCTCTTGTCACATACAGCAGGCCAGGCTGTTGTGGACTTTCTAGGCCCTCCGTACATGTTTGACTCTTGTCTTTGCGGCGTATGCCTTACCGGACGATTATTCTATTCCTTGTTTGACGACAAACATGCCGACACTCGCCGTGGAACATATCGCCACCGGCCCCGTGGCCTACGACACTGAATGGTTGTGCACGGTTGAGAAGTCGTCTGAAGCTACCTTCAGGCATTGGTTGTTTGCCACGGTCTCGCACCTATTACACCAACACCCACGGAGACCGGGTAAGTAGTCCATAATTATCTGGATTTTATAGGATTCGGTACTAATTCCCTCCATGCTCACGTGGAAGTGTCACACTGTTCACACCTTGGCTCAACCAAACGGAAAACGTGGAGAACAGGGAAGTGCGGATGGGAAGGAGGCTGTTGTTGCCGGTTACCGTCCAGGAACATCTCGCTATTGTCATGTGAGTGGACGAGTTATCATGTGTCTGTGGGGTGTGTGTAGAAAAAAAGAGAGAGAGAGAGAGAAGCAGAGAGATGTTCTAAGGTATGGCAGCATAATACAGTAAAGCTCATCTCAAGTTTGAACTGTTAGACCGTGAATGAGGAATGCAATGCACCAGGATGCTATCGTATGCATTAGTTGCTGAGAACCATGGGGAGACGTGCGGCATTGAACGACCGCAACGTCCCCCGAGGTGCATCTTCCCTTCAGACCAGGAACACCCGCGGTGTTCCTCCCTGGGGTCCACCAAACAGTGCCAAGAGTTGTGTATGTCGCCTACGTGGCAGGTAGCTATCTATTTACCGCAAATGTTGCGTCTTTTTACCTGAGAAAAGAGAGTATGTAAGTACGTAAATAAAGGTAGATGGGCAATGCTTGCATGTAGGGGAGAAGAAATCCACGGTCTTGACAGGCTGTTCTCCCTCCGTTTTGACCACCCCAGTTCGTGTTCATTTGTCTCCACGTGTCTGACCACGTGGAAACTACAATGAACGCGAACGTGTCGGTGCCGGAGTATGTTTCTTTTCTTTTGCCGGAATCGCTGAGAAGTTGTTGGGTTCGTTCCTTCTTGAATCAGCTCAACCAGCACCCCGTTGGTTAGGGAGAGCGGAAGGTCTTTATGACTGTCGGTTGTATTCGGAGATCACTAGAGAGAGAGAGAGAGAGAGAGGCTCCTGTTTTGACTATTCTATCGAGTCCTTCATAAGACACATCCTGGTTTCACATCTGTGTGGGGATGGGCATTTTGGCTTAGCGAACGAGCGCGCGCGCTGGAGAGAGAGAGAGAGAGATGAAGACAATTTAACAGGGCCGTTAGTCGGTCGGAAAAGCATTTGTCTTGGCGGCGCATCCAGGGGCGGCGATGCACCGGAGCTGAGATCAAGTACAAATCGTACGAAGGAGACGGAGGCACCCATCCCGTGCTTCGATTAAAGGATTCCTTGATTCATGAACGAGGGACACGTAGAAGCGGTCGCTATTTTCCATTGAGTCGTTAAAACTTTTGACAAAAGTGATGCCTTTGACAAAAGTGATGCCTCTCCCCTTTCCCACTCTCCTCTCTCAAAATCTCTGCCGCCACCAGCCAACGCTCTCTCGCTCCCTCTCCCGCCATTGATCTCACCCTCTCTGACCTTGGCCAGCCAAGGCATGATCTGAGTGGACAGCTCTTTTCCCACAGCTTCATCCGTAGATAGTCCAACCGACAGAGTGTACCGAGAGAAAACCAGTGTTCATGGGGATCAACGGAGCATAGAGAGAGAAAGTCAAGGAGTGGGTGCGATTCATCTTGGCGAGCTCATACACCAACCACTGCGACTATTAAAATGCTTGTTGACCTATTCGAGCATCTATCCATCCTTAAAACGTCTGTCTTTCTTGAAACTCGGGGCATCCTCGCATCGGTGCGGGAGACAGCGACGCGTAATTCATTTCGTTCTAGGCTAACCTAGTCGAATATTTCCGACTGTAACAGCAAAGAGGGCAGGCGCAGGGTGTATAAATGCCCAGTAGCGATCGAAGGAGACGACTGCGAAAGGTGGTCGTCCTGGATATGTCTTCAGGAGGGAGAGAGGCCCTGGTATGGAGAGGACTAATCCTCATGGCTGTGGTGATAATGGTTAGCTGCAGGTTCGTGGATTCCAGAGCCGTTCGAGAACCTTCGGTGGTCAGCAACGACGACAAAGTAACTTATGCCTCAGCGCACGGCGGGCCTCCTCTGGCAGCTGAGCTCCGCCGGGATCGGCAGTCTACACCCGTTCTGATGAGCTTGCTGAGCATGTTGGGTTCGGGGCCAAGCCGGAAAGGGCCCGGCCACTGAAGGTGGCTCCTTGTTTCAGCATTTCTCTCTTCCCTTCCGAAATCCTTCTCGATCTTGGTCACTCTTCTACCTGTAATATCTTGTACGATAATAGTGTGGAACATTTCGGACTTTAATCAAGGTGATAATGTTTTGCTAAGAAGTACTTGGCGTCTGCGAAGCTTATTTCACTTCTGTCATTGGGTTCACATATACGTTGCTATCCCCTCTATTTCTCTGGTCAAGAAAAGACCAACTAACTTTTAGAAAAAAGGAATCTGTCAAATAGATTGGGAGCATCCCCGATATGACATGAGGGAGTTAAAACAAGAAGAGTATCTGTTGAAGTCTTTTGGTTAGACCGTAAGGAAATATCATTTCCCTTAAAGATGCAGACAAGAAAAATCGACAGACGAGATATTAACGATATCTTCCAAATCGGTTCTCTCCCATAAAAGTAATTTATTTTTTCCTTAAACCGAGAAAAATGTTTCATTTACTCTACTTTATGAAGAGTATTTCTGTTAGAATGAACATTCAGTTAAAAAATGAAAAGGTCAGATTGAAAACTGTAGACAGGAAAAGGCGGAAATTTATAATCACATTGATTATTGTAAATGTCGTTCAATAAAAAAATAAATTTTACTAGACGTGAATTCATTTTTCATCACATGCTAATTCTGGAGTATCGTCTCTAAAACGAATATAAACTAGTTTATGCTCTATAATCCTTGCGTATGCTCAATAAATGTTCATGAAGAATATAATTGGTAACCATTTATAATAGAATAGAATTGGTTTAGAAGATGATCATAATTGAGAAAATCTTGGATTGAAATGATAAAACAAATAAACTTAATCAGGAAATGAATTGTAACATGTAAGTATGAAACGTGTGAAGAAGAAGAACAAGCATTAGTAATATGATTATAATGCACAATAGTAACAGAAGATGGTGATGATAGTAAGGAATAATATGTTTAATTCATGTAACATGTGATGTGGCCTAAATCCGATTGAAAGTTAGATGTAGCCATGGCCTATTGACTGTTCCCATTAATATGAACCATTTTAAAAAACTCTGCAGTATTGAGGGCATGAATCTGATTCCCCCAACGCTGCGACGTATAACCATTCAGATAGAAAATAGCGTTGTCTCTTCTAGGAAATAAATTATCATTTCTATTGCTGGTTCTACGCCACTACTGACCAAAACAAGAGAAATCTAGGGAGATTTTCATCATTGAGTCATCTGATGGGAATGCAGTACTAGAAAAATATATCTAATTTCACTATTTATTCATCAAACAATAGAAAAAAGGTGCATTACTTTCTTATTTCACGCTAGAGTGAGTCACCATAAGGGCATTTTCTTCATTTCTGTGGTTAATGTGAATGGAAACTAGCAACTTATGAAATGTCACGACGAGGCTTTAGTGAATATCCATGAAAAAGTTGAAAACTATGGAGAAAGCGTTATTTATCGCTGCTAATCCAACGAAATTGTACTATCTCTGAAGATAGTAAAATACATGCGAAGAACTCAGTGGTTGAAAAGGGGGTTACGTGGCTAATTCGTTCCGCCTTGTATTAAAGAAACCAATAGGAAATGGAGGAGGATTCCACTTAACGATTATTTGCACAGGCAAGAGTCCGACTGCCCAGAATGCGCCATCTCATGTCTAAACTTCGATTTAGCGGTAGCCATAAGGAAAGATGTCGCCATACGGTAGATTTCTGCCCTTCACCATCATGTGCTACCCCCGTCCGAACCCTGAAGAAGCACGGGCCTTTAAACGAGAGAGGAGTCTGCGGCAGGTGATCATGTGCTCGTTAAGGGCACTCACGAAGTTATGAGAGTACCCCGCCGCGCCTGTCCTCTTCCACTGCAAGCTGCAGGAGCTTCCGGGACACACGACGCATAATATCTAGCTATATATATCTATATCTGTGTGTGTGTGTGCGTAGAGAGAGAAAGGGACGAGGTTGTTAGTGGGGTCAGTGAGATTGACTTGGCGGTGCACGAGGGGAGACGAACACGGGCGCTCTATTTCCTCTATTAAAAGCTTAAAAGGTCAAAAGCTCTGTAACATGAAGTTAAGATAGATATACCACCACATGGATATAGATTGGTGAAGCTTTCCATTGAATCGGCGGACCTTCAGCGAAATTCCGCCCTAAACCTCACGCCTCTCTCTCTCTCTCTCTCTCTCTCTCTCTCGCTATCTCTCAGACGCGCTACCACCGTCAACCATCTCTCCTACTCTCTCTGACCTTGGCCGGCTACGGAAAAGGATCGTCTGTGACCTCTTCTGAGCTCTGCATGCAAAAATCGTCGATCGTCTTTGCACGCACAGACGACACGCGTAGTTCCACGCGTTTCCTTGCTTTCTGCCGCGAATGACAGCTCGATTCAACTGCGGAAAGGCTACGCAGACGGATCGAATCGTCAAACAAGGACCGACGTCAAGATCCCGAATTCGAGGGTACCACAGGGCTGAGAGAAAGTCAGACATATTTGGAAAAAGCCGTCTTCACGCGTCGTAATTATTCTATTGATTTAAACTTCCGTAATATCCTATCATGGACAAGTTATTCAGGAGTTCAGAAATAATCCCATTTGATATTATTAAAATCCCCCATATCTCCTGGATTGCCACCGTCGCTCTACCAACTGTGGAATTGGTGGCTGGAGTTAAAAATTAGGAGCTGTTCATACCTGAGGTCATGAAGAACACGGGGTCCTGCTACCAGGGATCACGATCTGTCGTGCATTCCTCGCTTCTGGTCAAAGATTTCCAGCGTCAAAAGAAGAATGGGGAGGAGGCAGTTACGACTGCCTATAAGTCACCAGCTGCAGGCGTAGGAAGCAGCGGAGGTTGCCGTTCCAAGATGGCTGCAGGGAAGGGAAAGCCCGTGCAGTGGAGGTCGCTGATTGTCGTGGCTCTGGTGCTGCTGCTTCATCTTCGATGCGTCGACTCCAGATTACTCAGCAGCCCTTCCCCGGCGGACTACGGCGGATATAACGGCGGAGACGAAGCCGCCTACGTCTCCACGCCGCAGCGTTCGCATCCAGCAGCCGGAAATGGGCGGGTCAGGCACGCTTCTCCTGCGCTGGCGAGTCTTCTACAGTTGCTGCGTTCAGGGCCTAGCCGAAAAGGCTCCGGCCACTGAAGATGGCTAATGGATTCTGCTTTTGTCCTCAAATGAAGAATCCTTGCTGATATTATTCATTTGTTCTTCGTAATTCCTTATACGTCGAGATCTGGGGGGCATAGTGTCCGGCACAAGCTGTATAGTTTGTAAATCAACCTGAATTTGAACCTTGGTTGTGGTCGGTTACCTGATATATTATGATATTTCAAACCTCTTATTTTATGTTAAATAAATCCCAATTTCAAAGCTATTGATTTTGGAGGTTGTACTGTATGCTTAATGCGTGATTGGTTGAATCTTTTCGTTCAACGCCTTTCAAATCAATGAATTATCAGAAAGCTATACTTAACCATTTTGGCCCTCAAAAATAATTTAATGGATTTTCAAGCTTAAAATATCGGTTTCTCATGCATAGTATTGGTCAAAACTTCCTTTGTCCACGATTCTATGCATTTAATTGATTTGAGACATTTTATTGGTAAGAGAAAATGTCTTGACGATGTATAATTAGCCAATGAAACTTTGCTTTGTCCTCCCATAAAGCTGATGAAGGACAAGAGAGAAGTGTTGACTTTTATGGTTTTCAAAATTGTCAATCAACCCTCAAATCTTAAGATGGAGTAGCTTACATCTTAAACATGAGAATATTTTTTGGTTATATATTTCTTACACTAAGTTATCATATAATTATTTATAACTTGTGACAAGCTACTTTGCCAAAACCTTCGATCTTAGGGATTTACGACATGCAAGGGTGCCATACATCATAACTAAATCATCTAAATCTTCAAGTGTGTTATGGTACACGAGGCCTTGTACATAATGTCCCTTCATTATCTCGATATTTTTAAGCCTTTAGTTTTGACCTACATCACTTTTTTCACACCAATCAAGATAATTTAATATTTTTTCATGAGGGCATGTCAAATAATGGCTCAACAACTAAGTTATATTCCCTCCCATGCACTTTTATCCTCATTTACGTAGGTTTCAGTCATGAATGGGGATATCTAATACGAAAAAACTCCCCTTCAGTAAAAACTTCATTATAAGGAATGTAAATAGCTCGTAGAGTACATGGTAAAAGTGGAATTGTAGTTATCAGTGCCTGGGGGAACTTGCTAAAGCTCAGATATATATACAAGCTGATCCCTCTAGACCCTTCCTTTTTGGAATTTGCTGATGTAGACATGATTATTTGTGAATTCCCAATTGCCAAAATAGGCCAAAATACCAAGTCTCACAACACAAAAACTTAAAGTTTAATGTAAAGATCTTGAGAAGTCTTTAGTACACTACCAATCATGTGAGCATGAGGTTTCAAAATTTGATTAAGGATACCATTTATTTTGTATTAGAAAAAGTAGCCTTCTGAAACATGGTGCATCATTCTTGATTGTTAGAGATAGTGAGGAGCTTGCCTCATCTAACCTACTTAGGTATTAAACTATTTGGAAAAAGCTTCTAATAGTTCATGTGATGGGTTCTTAAGAATAGTGAGACGGCAATATTTGGGAGTTTTTAGTCCCCATTTATCCTTTAGTATATTGATAAAAAAGTAAATAAAAAAAAGATTGATAATTCTGATTACAAAACCTGGATTCATCTTGTTGTTGTAAATTCACAAGTTCAATCAAAAAAAAAAAAAGATTAAAAGCCTAAAAATATTGGAATTGAATAATGCATATATCAGTCATAGAGGACACTTTATAAGGATTTTTATCAACATGATTCTTCTTGGTGACAAGAGGGTAAATTTTCTTCAATACTCTTGAAATAAAAACATTGCTTTCACAAATAAATATTTTTCTTCATAGTTGTGCTCAGTGCCTCTCATAGTTAAGAAACAATTTGTTACTTTAATATGTAGTCGACAATATTTCATTAATTAGTAAAATAGAGTATTTTCATTACTTGGAAGTCAATGCTAATAAATCATATCACACCTTCCCTTTAAGGTAGAAATTTGAACCATTCATCATGATAATCTCCAATTTATAATTAAAAACTGTGAAGAAAATCGTAATCCTTCATTTAAAAAAACTATAATTGAGTTCATCAAGAAATAATAGTTTGCAGATGTAATGGCTTTTTACAAATATGATTCCAATGATCCTAACCATAGGTATAACTTTAAACAGTTAAGTCTTAAAATCAAATAATAGGTTTTAATACCATCATACGACTCTAACTAGAAATTTGGTTACAGAATAATAATGTTGAATTATATTCATGTATAAATTTGCTGAAGAAATAAAAGCATCGCATAATAAAAGATTGCAAAAGAAACTTAGTTCTTGTAATGTTTTGACCTTCTCAATAACAACCTTAAAGGTTTAGTTTGTTAGAAAAGTCATATATTAATGTTCCTTAACTTTTAGGGACTGATCTATATACCTTAAATCTTTTTTTTTTTTCCCATACAAGGTTACAATTTTTAGCCATCTACTTTTTTGCTCACTTCCTTTTAAGGTTACATTTTTTTCATGCAGAATTTATTTTTTCTTGTCAAGTAACCTCAAGGAACAAACACTTATCCAACATCTTAATGCACTCTTCACATATAAATTTTAAACCTTGGAGGGTTAGATGAAAGTGGGTGACAATATATGAGATTACATGACAATTTATTATCATTAAAAGAAGCTAAGTTCTATCTTGAATCTTCTGAAAAAAGTTTGCATGAATTTTTCTCCACATTGTTCCCAGGGAATAAATAACTAATGGAATGAGAATGGTGAAATCCAAGTATGTACGGACTTCATTAGAGCCATGGTCAACGTTTTCTTGAGACTCATATTTGATGAAGTGAGGCACCTAGGATGACACTACGTGGGGGTTAGATTGCTAGTCGGTGGTGATTTGTTCTTACAGCAAGCCATCTATGATGTGACTTTGCGGCTGTATGGATAGAGTAGGCCATTTTTTATTATTAAAGCTGGATATTTTGCAAATAATGCTTTGGGGTGGTTTTGGATCAGCCTGTCCACGTGTCGAACGCAGAGTACCATTCCCAGAATCTGTGTCTGTCGCTCGCTCTCCTTCGTGTTACTCCCTCCCGCTTCTTCACGACTTTCCAAGCGTTACTGGGTTCCCCGGGGTTCTTCAGGAAAAATAGAAATCGAGTATGGTGTTGACGATGGTGGTCGAAGCTTCTCTTGTTCCCCTGGGCCGCCGGGAACAGTTGCCGCCGCCGATCCTCCCCGCCACCAGCGTAGGAAGGACCTCGAGTAAGCCAGAAGCTTCCGCCTTTATCGACTGGTTTCTTCTTCTGTTGCTGTTCTTCATTTCGGTGCATTGGTGACGATTCCTCCACGCTGGGAAAGGGAATCTTCGAAGCAACTCCGGGAGGCTGTCAACGGCGAGAGAGTCATTTCCGCCGTGCCGCTGCTCTTCTAGTGAATCATCGGCCCCGACGGAAACAGATCCGGTCTTTCCTCCGGCTAGTTCTGCCGGAAGGAGATTCTTGATTGGCTCTTCATTCGCTGCAGGTTGATATCTCTACATCTTTATTTTTCATATTTGACTTTTTCCGTTCTCTCCCACAAATGAGGCTCACGATTTTGTGCATGAACGTGAACCTTCGGTCGCTTTCACCGTTGTGCTTTCTCGGCTTCCTGTATCGTTGAATCTTTGTGTGATAATGGTTGCTGATTCAAGAAGGAGAAGATTATATTTTGGCTGTCGCCGATGGTCTGGATCATCCAATGAAAAACAGAGTGCTTGCAAGCTAGGAATAAGGACCATTTTACACCGGAAGGATGGGATCTGTTGTCCTCGATGCAGGATCTGGCACATGCTCAACTCAAGTTAAACTTGAGAAATTCAGCAGTTTTAATAATATGTTCTTCTCTCTAGCATTAAACGTTCATAGAACAATCTGGACTTCATAAATTGTGGGACCTTATTCAATAAATTTTCCTCAGTCCTTCGATTCCTGGCATGAGACAATGTGGACGATAGGATATAGATTACCATAATAGATTGGAATAAGGAGTTCTTGATGGTAAAACTGTTAGTCAGCTATGTGGAAGCTGGAGGTCATTCTTGAGTCCCTGTGTCATGTGCATGTAGAAATACGAACTGTGCTGCCTTACCTCGGTCTGGTGGGTATGACATCAGCAATGTTTCTTGGTTTCGTACGAGAATGAGCTCTTGTTTCCAGATCATAAATTAAGGAAAATCATAGCCTCCAAACTTTGAAATAGTGATATGACACAGTTAGGCCAACGATTGCCAGCTACTGGGGACTGAAATTTTTTGGAAACTAGATTAAAATATTGCATGTAAAATGAGCTGGTTTCACTGAAGTAAAATCTTGTATTTCTTTCGTTCAAGAGTGTTACAGGTCCAGGAGTACTCTCCCATTCCCTGTAACATATGAAAGAAGACTCAAGCAAGTTGTTGCAGTCGTATAATGTGAACTTTGAAATACTATATTATGGTCTTATTGTAGAACTTATTTGAGAATGGAAATTCCGAAGCTATATGTTGTTTGAGTTCATAAGACTCTTTCTTAACATTTTCGATTCATAAAAAATGTCAATAGTTTTTTTTCTTCCTATAATTTATGTAAGCTAATGAAAAGTTAGGTGAAAATAAGAAATAACTGTTTAAATGAAAGCAGATAGTTCATGTATATGTCGCAGTTTTTGAGGAACGTGAATTTCTTAGTGTATAAGTGATGCTTCATTTCACATAAAAAGGCTTTCATTTCAAAACTTTATTTAAATTTTAAATATTTATATTTCGTTTTGAATTTCTCAGAGAAACTCTTAATCAGCTTCTTTGGTTGTAGTCTTGTGGTATTTTGTAACTCTGACCTTGTATTTCATTTTCCCAAAATAAATATGCTGAGGTTGCTTTATTTAAATCTCAAACATGGGATAAAAAGACTGTATTATGTCGTGAAAGGCCTGGGACGTAATAATATTCGTAATATCCTTTCAATTTTTTTACTCATATCTTTTCTTTCTCTTTTCATGCACTCACTGTCTTTATCCTTTTGACAATGTTCCAGCTACTTCTCTCTATGTATCGGATATTGCAGGTGCAGTTTCCACCAGTAGAAGAGCAGTAAGAATTTTTTTAGACGTGGAAAACTCTCTTTCGACTATTTATGTAATTTACTTCATATTCTGATTATCTTTTTTGCAGCTTAAAGGGGCAAAAATACCAGAGGGTGATTTTACAACACTCCCGAATGGGCTGAAGTTAGTAACAACGCTTAAGGTTCCATTAGTTTGCTCCAGTTATTTCACTTGTGGTGCTTATTTATCTGTGAGTTCCATGAAATTTCTTCTTTTGGGAAGGAAATGAGCACTGGGTTTGGGTTCATAATTAATCACATGACACAGATGCTGTAGATATAAAGTCCATGTGCAAAGGATTCATGCCATAGTAATCAAGACAACTTCTAAAGCATCTATTCTTAAATGAAAATCAAAACAATCTGATCAAAATCTATAAGGAAAACTTCTGTTTTTTTTTTTCAACCATACTTTGACATTATCCATATTGCCACATTTCTAATAGGTTTCTATCTTTCTGTAAATGTTTACCGGAATCCTGCTAGTTGATAATAGACAAATAGAAGGTACTCCTACGTAGGTGTTATTCAGTTACAAGAAGGTCAAGGTTCGTATCTACATCTTTGATTTTGTGAATACTTTCATATACATTTCTCTTTCCACAGTTAAATATAGTCTGGTATGATGAACATGTATAGTGTAATGTTTAATTATTAGTTAGCCAACAGTAGCTCATTCACTTCTTGAATGAAAATGTTGGGACTTCTTTTCTTCGTTGAGAAGGAATATAAAAGTGAAATACAATCATGAAGTAAATGAAACTAAACAATTGTTTTATTTTTGGAATATTAAATATGGACCCTACAAAACGTAGGTTATTATCAGTACTCTCTACTATTTACTAAATATGGAGAACCAAATCCAGGAACTAACACTCGTTTAAATACGTTATCATATCTTACCCTTTCTGTTGTTATCCTATTGTCTGTATAAAAAAATCGGGAAATGTAGAGTTCATGGAGTGAATTATTTTGAAGCACTGACTTTTAGTTTATTACTTGTTGAGTGTTAAAAGTTCAGAAAGTCTGGATTACTGTGATGAATAAATTATCGTTTCATTTACGTATTTTCACAATCTCTTTGTTCCCATACAAAATATATCGACTTCACCTGTACGAGTCTCAAACTTTTCACATATTCCGCTTAGTTTATTTCAAATTTTTTGGTCTAGTGGCTTCAAAATTTCTTATGTTTTGGTCTTTATGTGTCCAATAGGTATTATGATTTGAAGGTTGGAAATGGTGCCGAAGCTGTAAAAGGATCACGAGTTGCAGTATGGCAGCTAGAATTATCTGTTTTTGTATATTTATCTTACGCTACATTTTAAATCATGCATCAGTTCCTTTTGCCCTGTAAATTATTAGGATGACTAATATTATCATTCTATATTACGCTACATTACTAGTATGTCCGTTAGAACTATCTGGTTTCTGTATATTTCTCTTATGCTTTTCTCCTAAGCTGTATATCAACGCGTTTTGGAAATATTTCCATGTCTAATGCTATGATTATGAGTATGCCAGGCATTACTGATGTATATAAAGGGATACTTTGAAACGAAATATTAGGAATATTGATTTAGGTGTATGATGGGGTAAACGTTGATCAATATGCAGGGCGTGTTTTTCTTCAGGTATTCAATTTCAGGCTTCTTTTAACAATATATTTCTCCATAAATTGTGGTAAAATAACCAGAGGTGACCATCCAAAATGATCCAAGTATTAGTCAAGCATAAACAGATGTTCCTAACATGGACACGAATGATGATTCTTGTAGCCTTTTTCCGTGGTATGGGTCTTATTCCTCCACTTACAGACTTTATCTTAGAAGATTTACGTCTTATTGATACACTGTATTTCATAATATTTTTTTATACTTCAAAATTTATATCGTACATTTCTAGAACAAGACGTGGCTCATGGAGCAATTGTTGAAATTATGAAAAGTAAAGAGAGAGCACCATTTCTAGTACAGTGCATGTTAAATGTTCCTAGTGTTTGTTGGTACACAAACATGATGTTAATATATGTGGCTTATGCTTGTTATATGCTTAGTATATCTGCTGTTTTAGAATCGGGGAAACATCCTTTCTGTGTCCTCGAATGATCATAGATGTGTTGTCGGAGTGCATTTTTTGTAAAATAAAGCAATTCATACGATATCAGGTATGTGGTCTGTTACTGTAGTTCGCAAATAATGTGCGGAAGGATAGTTTGTTGAAGATTAATAAACAGATTTTTTATTTTTATTTTTAGAATCTGACTTGATTGACATTTTTTTGTAATTATCATACTTCTACTGGATTCAATTGTAAGTTGTACACGAGGGTATCTAACCAGGTATGATATAGGATATAACTTTTTGACTGATAAAAAGATCCATATTTAAAAGATGAGAGTAACTCGATTGAGAAATATGGGGTTAATGTATAGGAAGATGTATAAATCATTTATCAGATTCTTGTATTACAGATAGAGCGACATAACTATATGGGAAAATTCGTAAAATTGCCTGACATCTTTCGGTTGTGTGCAGGACAGACTGATTGGTAGCTATATTGAGTTCTTAACATAGGAAGAGAAGGATTGAAAAGGACTTGAATGATGGTACGGTGTAGACAAGTGAAATGATGACATGATAGAGTAGAATGGTGGGAGCTTCTACTCTTACTTCATCTAATCGGTATAAATTGGACATTGACACGTAAATTCCTTGGATTCAAATGGCCGTTCCGCTATTGTCAGTGCAGTAGAGACACTCACCATGCACAGTATGCATCAGGTTAGCAGGTGTGTTTAATGAATATCCAAAATGGGCTGAAATTGACAACTTGATGATCGGTTATTTACTCTCATGACAAGAAAAATAAAATGTTTTTATCCGCTAGATCTCAACACGTCTTTCAGGCCTGTGTAATTCATGAATCCGCAATTACATGCCTACTGCTTGAGCATCACCCAACATTCCAGACCACTTTGAAGATCCAATAGTTTCACAGTATGTAGGGCATCCTGCCAGTAATAGGGGCCATGCGGGCCAGGTAACATCATAAATAGTAATATTGTTTCCAATAGTCGAAAATCCCCAGAACAGAGAGTGGCCAGTGTACAGACAATCCATGAGCTCTCCAAAGAATTTACGAGCATAATACTTGGTTTCCCGTGTCATTAAAATAAATTCAAAATAAATATAAGGATGGATATATTCAAATAAGTTAAGAATAAATGTCTTCTAATTTTAGAATGTAGTAATTCATTGGAAACGACTAAATGTCTTCTATTTTTCTGGCTATTTCGGTCTCCCATCAAGTGTTACAAAAGATTAGAATACCTTCAATCTGGAATTCTTCCTTCTACGGTTATTTATACGTCCATCGATAACTCTTTTTATGCTGACTAATCAGCATTCCAATGCTCATGGGGAGAATTGCTTGCCATGCTGGCTGTTGACTAGATTCAGATTATAGATGGTGTAAAGGGCATGTTCACCCGCGAACTTTTCCGATTGAAACATGATATTATTTAAGTAATTTGGAGTTTCAGTTTTATTCTTCATGGATATCATTATTTCAATTACAAATAATGTAGGTACACTATGTTGCGAAGTGGAAGGGTATAACGTTCATGACAAGCAGACAAGGTTTGGGAGTTGGTGGTGGAACGGTAAGCTCTGGTATGAACCTATAAATTGGAGGATCTTCTTCTCTCTTCAGATAATCATGATTTCTACGACTCAACTCATGACATCTACACGTTGATCCGCCCCATATGTTAATTATTTTTATTAACTGTGCAAAAGGATACTCCTGAATGATTGCAGCGGTTACATTTTGCAAATAAGATTAATACAATCAATATTTTTCTGTCCTATGATGATCGTGATAATTCTTTGCAGCCGTATGGATTTGATGTTGGTGAATCGGAGAAAGGAAATGTGCTAAAAGGATTAGATCTAGGGGTTCAAGGTATGAGGGTTGGAGGTCAGGTAAGAATAAAATCCCAGATATTGTGTTCTTTCTTTACTTAATTCTTGTTTAAAGTTTATTCATTTTCTAAATCCTTCATGTAATTTCAGGATTTCTGAAATTGTACGCAGATTCCTCTTATTTTCTTCATACACTATATAATGTCATCTTGTTACCAACTACCTATTTAAGCTACTCTCTGTAATTTTTTATTTCTAATTTCAGCTGAGAGTTTTGAGAAATACACGGATGGAAATTCCCAAATGCTAGACAGGAAATCAACAAAGTCGCAAACAACATGGGGGAGAAAGCTTGCCTTCTCGTTATTCTCGTTGGAGGACCCATTAGATTATGGATCCAATTGACCCATTATCTTCTTTATGTGGCCATGGATCGTTAGAAGATGGCCCCATTATTCTCGTATTAATTCTTATAATTTACTACCCTGTACTCACTCTATATATCAATAGATGAGGAGGCAGGCTACAATGTTGAGGTTTATTCCATTTTGAAATGGTATCAGAACCTGGAGTTTGATTTTCATAGGGTTTTTCAAGCTGCTACCTCTGCTTTCACCATCGTCGCTGCCTCCCTCAACCTCTTTAACTTTTAAGGTGATAAGGTAGTGACGACAGATTTCATCATGATATAGCTGATTGCATTAATTTGACTACAATATTCAAAGAGTAGACTCTCATTTGATGCCAGATTTGAGGACAACGTTGGGTACTTTATTGGTTAGGACTGCAAGTGCTCCACTGAGATAGGATGATGGAATCAAGTTTTAGATGGGTTGTCAAATTGGGTATTCGTGGTAATCAGCTCTTGACAAACCTCCCAAAACTCAGTTCTTTGGGCGAGTCACTGCAAGTGCTAGTGACTCACTTCGGCGCTCTTAATTGCTATTACATTTCTTTCATGGGGCATGGGGTCATGTTGTTGCACTAAATCAACGACACTACAAACTCTTAAACTGTGACTGTCAATACTACAGCGGTGGAGGACAGGAGGCTTTAACAACATTTAGTATGTTAAATTAAATTAATATTTATTTTTAAAATTTCTTTTTTGAATGATTGGTGTGTTTTAATTAATGTGAGTATATTTTATTGTTCATTAAATTGATATTTTATGAATTTTTTTATTCATTAAATAATAACTAGCTTACATCGCTCACAAAGGAACTAATTTTACATATGATTAAACTCAAATGCTATTTATTCCTTTTCGAATATTTTTAGTTATCTTACCATTTTTTAAATTACCTTATGAGATATTTTTGAAAAACTGTTGCCTAGTTGCATACCATTGTCACCAATGTGTATTACCATGTTCTGTGATCACTTTGGTGGCCTTAAAGGCCTAAGAAGGGATAATGATTGGTTTACTGAAAAACTCGTACATGTAAACATTGAATTGGCTTTTGTTATGGGCATGTTTCTTTTAGTGTGATACCTCATGTGTGGTATGCTGTCCTTGGGATTAAGTAGGGCCTTGTAAAACCCTGTGGATGTAATGCCATGGCGTGCTGTCAGCTCGTGTTTTGGTGTGAGAAAATGTTATCTGATGTTGAGTAATTGATATCATTTATTTGGTTTTAATTATAAATGGGATTTCCAGAACTAAAAAAAAACCAAAGGAAAGTGATCCAAGTAACATGCTTTCTAATTGACTTTACAGAGATTATTGATAGTCCCTCCTCAATTGGCCTATGGGAGCAAAGGGGTGCAAGAGATCCCTCCTAATGCAATAATCGAGGTGAAAATACACTTTTACATGAGTTCTCTTTCTTGTTCAGTTTGTGGATGTTCATATTCAATACTGAGTTATATTTGCATCCATTTATAAACCTTCACCTCCTCTCCATGTCTTTTCTTATTTTTGACCTGTAAGCGCAAGTACCATTGGAATGGTTTGCAGCCATTTATAGTCGAGATGTTAAAACTACATGTTAAGTTCTTGTTACATGTGAACAACTTTGAAGCTTCTTTAACCTTAATTATATCCACAGTATCTTTACTATTTATTATTATAATATCCACTAGACTCATTTGATTATATTTAGTCATCATAATTTAATTTGTATTTTTTAATTATTTTTATTTTTATTCATGGGTATGCTTATTTAAATTCGACAATTTATTCATTGTTACGTTAGTAAGCTTTAGTATTCAAGAATTTATTTTTTATGCTAATTATTTTGTCTTAAATGTTCCCTTAATTTTCTGCACTTTGGATATCCGTGCATTTTCTTAAAAATTATCAATAATATGTTCTTAATTATTGAATATTATGTTCTTTTTCAAGGGAAATTTTATTTTATCAATATTGATAAAACTATTATTGGGTTTATGTACTAGTCTCAGAATATTAAATAACCTATGTGCTTTCAACAAGTGAAGATAAATGAAATCTTATTTTACCATGGATTATGATAGTGGTTTGGTTGGGTTGAAACGTACTTCAGAATCCAATGTGAATCTCCCCATTTGGATTAAGGCTATTTCCCGGTTTTGACACGAAATGAAATTCTTTTTGAGTGTATGTGATGCAATCATTCATAACTTTATGTGTGGAGTCCACTTAAGGATAGGATGAAGCATAGTTTGCGAAATGGGATGAAACAAGGGGATGGGATCGAAATATAATATTTTTAAAATGGAGGTCATTAGGAGTATGGGATGAAGCCCATTGGAAATATTACCATTTTAACATCACCCATTGGAGTTAAGCTTTAACCACTGAATGCAAGGTTCATTTATGTCTGATTGGGATTGTTTGCCCGGGACCTCACCACTGGAAATCTGGCACAGAGATGGCCTTTTTGGTTCATTTCAACTGGTAAACCATTAAACATGTGCTAATAAGGTCTTAGTATAAGCATTTTCATTGCATAAGACTACAGTATAGTACATCTATGAGCCATTTGCATTGAGATAAACCCAAAAGCACCAAGAAGCCGACACAATTTCTTCCTCGATCCATTTTAGATTATTTGACACTTGGCTCACAAAATCTGATCCAGCCTTTCTGTATCGAGCTCAAATCCAGGTCTTAGCCTACATGACTGTTTTTTAAGCCTGTGCCGGAAAACGTTTGGTTTGCTCACCTGCATTACATATTTGAGCTTTGACTACAGGGTTGAGATTGCATATGATTATACTTGGATACCTTGCTCAGAGTCTGTGCAAGGTCTATTTGAGTTTCAGCTACGAGAGATAGACTTAGAGTAAATTTTTATTGGGTTTCTAGAAATATATCTGAGGTTCCTGAATTTTTTGAAATGGCTCTGGGTTTGTGCTGGGCCTGCTTTGAAAGAGTCTCCTTTTCTCTATTGCCAGCATCAGTGGAAGACCTTGATTTCTTGTAAACCGGCTGACAGTTCTTTTGAATTGGCCAGATATAGGTGACCGCCTTTTTATTCAACTATTTCCTCTTGTTCTGCCTACATTAACTAGGACAGACTAGTTTTTGCATTCCTGAAGGAAAAAAATAAATTTGTCAGCATTACCAAATCAGTGCCATCCAACGAATCTGCCATCTTCATCCTCATATTACCAATAAAAGAAAATGCTTCAGATTAATATTTACAGTTGATGGCGCGGTGTGATGAAAATGTCAGGTATTTTGGTCTAATATATCATAATGCGTGAGCCTTCCTCCACGGCTAAATGCTTTGGAGTTTATAGAGCTGTCTTCCGTCTTACCTTCGGACTTTTTTTCACCTGTTTTCTGAATTCTTCAATGCAATGAAGAATTGAATTACTGCTCCCGACAGGCACCATAAAATATTTACATTACACATTTCAATGAAACAGATTTGTATATTTAGGGTATCCGTTGGGTTCATCTCACTTCCTACGGCTTTTCTTATCATCAGGTTGCTTTTCAATTGCCTGCCCTAACATGTCTTCTGCCGTCTTTGCAGTTGGATGTGGAATTGCTGTCTATTAAACAGAGTCCTTTCGGGTAATGACTGAGAGAGTCTTGTGGCGCCATTTATCTGCTTTTACAGAGTCCTTCCGAGCTTTGTTCATGAATCTGCTTCCAACTTTGCAGAACAAGTGTGAAGATTATTGAAGGATGAACACTTCAGTGGTGGCCGTTCTTTTAGGACGTTTACAGTACATTGTGCAGAGAAGAATCAAGTTCAATATTCTAGCAGTCGTAAGCTCCTCTCTTGCCTCTAATGGCATGGTTGCTTCATTTTCGACAATCACAACAAGGGTAATCAATAAATATATCATACTTCCCTGTTTCAGCCATCTTCTTCTCAGTTCGGAGCCACATTTTCAGGTTACTGCGGTGGAAATTCCTAAAATATCTTCCCTTGCCTGCGGTGATGGCTGATGCTCTCGTTCTCACTGGTTGCTGTCGAACAGACAGATGCTTGCCGAAGGACTCTGCTTTTATTTGAGAAAAAAATTATGCAAAAGTATAATGAGTGTTTATAGATATGCGCATGTAAATCTGTCACCAAGCTGGTTAACACCAAAACAGATGATCGGGATTCTTGGAACCTTTCAGCCGCTAGCTGAAGGATTCTGCTTTCAGATGTGCACCTTGCTCATCGCTGATCTATTGGGAAACCTTTCAGCCATTCCATTTGGGCTCATCATTACTTTATGCATTGACTTAACAGCGCTCAAACCCTATGTGAACTTATCCACATTTCGGTAAATAGATTTGGGTGTCTGTCTTTCTGTGGAGATTAGCTTGAATCAGGGTTTCTCACCTAGGATAGAACTACCAAGTTTTTTCATCACAATTATTGTAATGAAGTGAATATAGATAAGAATCATTACAAGAATTGCAACAATATCTGCAAGCATGATAGATTAAAAGACTGATAATTTATCCTACATTCCCAAGTTTTAGCATCTGATTATTCCAATTTGAAATAGATTATTGGCACACACGAGCAATTGAGAAATTATGATACATGGTCATAATTTCTCTCATAGTTCAGCAGAGGATAACTTAGCTGTCACCACTATCTTTTCCACCTCATCCTCCAGAAGCTCCTCCACCCCTGCGACCAACCCCTTTATGGATCTCTTAAGTCTAGAAGTAAACACGTTTTCGTTTCTAATGATCTAAAAATTGAATTAATAAATACATGAAGACATTGCTATTATGTAACTCAGGACTATGGACTGATAGGGGCTCAGAAATAAACCAGAAAAAAAAAAAAAAATGGGTATCTCCATCGATCAAGCGACAGGTAATGTCTCCAGAACAGTGGGCTTCCTGCTGGTGCCAGTGTTGTTGGCGTTGCTGATCTTCAGATGGCTGTACAAGTAAATATTTCAGGAAAAAAAGAGGTAAGAAAGCAGACAAGTATGTCAGTAAAACTGGGCACGGAACCCAAATGCTATTTTTTTTAAGCTGAGCTAAATAAATTTCTGCGATAGTTCTATGAACAACCCTAGTGAAAACATCAAAGCATCTGACTGTTCTTTGTTGTTCCAATGAATTCAGGGAGAGCATTGATACTTCGGTTACCTGTGTTGGGCAATGGTTTTCGTACAGAGTACAATATAACCGCTGCAGCATTCATACTTGCACAGTGAGGAACAAAACCTGACCCCAAATCTGACGGCACAAAGTCTGCTGTGATCCTTTCAGGAGGAGAAATCATTTTGAACACCTTTTCTGCATTGATTATCTGCTGCTCACGGACGCTGGGATCACATATTACTCTCCTGCAAGGACAAACGAACAAGGTGGATACTCACTCTCAGTGCTTTGAACTAATGAAGGAACGCAAACAAAAGCAATGCTTTCTTGCTTTATGTACAAGGATATTAACTCTAAGGTAGCACGTTATTTAAAAAAAGATGACAAAGAAAGTTGCTTTCTCATGCCACTTGGCGACCCCTTAACTTGCCACAAAGAACTCTAAATCTAATCCCCACTCCCCCCCCCCTCAAAGGCGCATTTTAAAGGCTCATTTAACTTCCTTCAGTAGCAGCTGTCGATGAACCTTACCTGAGAGCGATAGCCAGATTCTCCGGTGTGCATGCCTGAAAAAGGACTTCCGGGATGATAGCTGATTCCAAGAGAATGTTGGAGAGAGAAATAAACTTTAACTTCGTCTTGTGTTTAATTAACAACTCGGTCAGAATATGCGCCCGGTACGCGACAACACATGGAAGTCTTGCCAGTTGCAATTCCATGACAGCAGTCCCGGAAGTGCATAGAGCAGCTGTGCTGGCCTAGAAAGGTCAAAGGCAAGATGAAATGGACAGTAATGGCAATAACACAAGTACTTCTCCAAGAAGCTCTTCTATGTTATAAGATTACAGTAGGATAATGCTATGAAATCACACTGACTTACACTGAATGCAGCATATTTTTCACGAAGTGATGCCCCAGGAACCAATATGATTGGCAGTGACCATCTCCCAACGACTTTATCAACGTACGCCTTGACATGATCATTTGGTGCGGTGATAACGACTATTGCTAACTGAGGAAATGATCTTTTAAGTAGCTCTAAAGTGTTTAAGAAAATGGGAAGCATGCGTGTGACCTCTTGTAATCGACTTCCAGGGAGTAAGGTAATGACAGTAGTTCCTAAGAGGGAGAAATCAAAGCAGCCAAAGAAAAAATGGAAAAAATTAAAATTAAAATTAAATTTCCAAAAAAAAAAAAAGACGAATTCAAAAAAGCAACAGAGTCAAAGGTCCAGGAATGGTCACAAAATATGCAAGATGAAGGAACAGCAATAGCTTTTTAAGATTTCTGATATTACCCTTATGTTTATTGAATTAACACCCTGAGAATCATAATTGACCACGAGTTTGCATTTATTATTTATAAAATAGATTGTCAAAAGGGATAAGTTCGTTCAAGACGGTCAACATAGATTATTTATGGGCAATAAGTATTTCTGAGTATTCGTTCATGCATCATTATAATATCTAGCACTATCCATTTAAAATGAACACAGTAGTCTTGGGTTTATAATGTGGTGCATATGACAGATCCAATCAAGCAATTTGCAGAAGAATGGGAATAGAAAAAGGAAGACCAACCGCAACAGCAGATAATCTGGTTGGACTTCTGGAGAATGATCAGGCCTTGGGACATCTTTCACATGATTATGAATATGCAATTGCCATATGGCAGAAGTCAAGATTAACAGGAAAGACTGTCGCTTCAATGGCAGCATCCTAAAATCCCACAATTAGCTTGAGTCAAATTAGACCCGATACACAGGAAACCACTGCCAACTATCATGATTTCCAAGAATCAGAATAAAAGATTGGTTCGGCAAGCTCAGGCTCTAGGATGGATCATGGGATACTGGTGGAAGAATCAAAACTACAGCCTCTGAACCAATAAGATATCGCCATTTTGAACTCTGGCTATAACAGTTTGGTCAGCTGGATTTCCTATCTCATGATTGAAGAGTTGGAAGGGCCTTAACATTTGCCATATAAGATATCTAAGAAAACTATAAAGTTACAGACTTGTGAAAAAAAAATCGTAATCTGGCAGAATTTTGAACAATGTTGCACCTATGGTTGGCAGCTTGAATTCTGGGAGGTGAGGGATAAGTCACTATACTGATTCCTGGCTTTAAGAGTCACCATAATGCTCTGTAGCATTTGAACTCGTAAAAAAATGCTCGAGACTTCCAAACTTAGTTCATCAACTTCGAGTTCTTTAAAATTCATCATCTATGCCGCTGATTTATTTTAGACAAAGACTTGTGCAGAGTTAATTACATCCCCCTGAAAAACCTGAAAGTCTGTAACATCAAAAGGAGATGACAGAAAGGGGAGTGTAACCGGCAGACAAGGAAGGCAAGGGAACAGAAGACGATGGCAAGCCTCTCCTTCTCCTAAGCCAGTGCCTCTCTCCGATGCTTCCATCCTCATCTCAACTGAATCACCTAGCTTTCTTTATAATAATTTCAGTCTCATAACTGTAGGGGACAAAAGGGGGACCGAAGGATGAAACTCCGGCAGATGAACGACAGAGAAGTGAATTATGGTTTTCGTTATTCACAGAGAGGATACACAAGCTAGAACCTTTAAAGATGGGTGAATTGAAGGGGGTGGAAAAATGACATAGGAGAAACCAGATTGTGACACATAGAGGAAAAATGGTGTTCCATTGGAAAAACGGAGAGCAAATAGCACAGAAGAAGATAGACAGTGTACTAGAATAGGAGAGTAAGTAGTGGAACAAGTGCAGGGACTCATGACTAGAGAAGAGAAAAGACAGGGAGGGTAGATGTAGTAGACGAGAAAGTGGGGAGAGGAGAAGACCATCAGAAAGAGGTAGAGGAGGAAGCGGATGGACAAGACATCACGGATGAATATGCAAGGATGATAGTGGAGGGTAGGGAGCTTAAGAGGTAATGTTTAGTGTGGAGATAGGCGTATCACTGGCTTGCCAAGATGGGGAACAAATTTTTCGTTCTGGATATTTGGCATCTAGATCCTGTTAAAAGCACGGTCTATGTTTGGAATAGAAGAAAACTGGCACAGACTTTGACTAAAAGTGAAACATAAATATCTTCAAATGAACTCTTTGCACGTGAATGAGCACATCAAAAAGCAGATTATAATACTAGTTTTCCATTTTCTTCACATTTATTATAATAGACGTCTTGATGGTAACCATTTTCTTTCTTTAATTTTTTTTTTTTATTTCAATGCCATCACAACAGCGACATTTAGAACAAGCAAGCAAGCAATAGAAGTCGCAATGATGTAAAACATACAAATTAAGTACCACAAAGACGACAATCTACCAGAAGGAAGCCCATGACTGGATAAAAAACCTTCACTGTTTCCTTCCTGTTCATAACACCGAGGCTTTGCTTCCTGACAAGATTTAGTAAATGAAGGATTAAAATTACAAATGAAGACCAGGAAAAATAAGTTGGCCTTAGGCGTTGCATACCATTCAAAGTTGTAGAAAGTGCAAATGTAATAACGATGATATACAATAGTGAAACCAGTCAATACAAATCAACATTTTAGAGAGGCAAACTCATAAGACTGTAATGGGCCAATCGCAATCCAGCAAGATTTCAAATCCCCTCATTGATATAAAAGGAGAAGAGGAAATAATAGCCCAGAAGTCGCGCATAGCCTTGACTAGATAAACTGATCCGAGTTTTATCCATCTAGCTTAGACCCATCTGCAGTGGAATCGCCAATCAGGAAAATGTTCGTACAAGTGATTTTGAGTAAAAGGAAGCAAGCCAAGTTCAGCAAAGAAATGAGTTAAATCACGCTGATGCCAGGCAAAAATGAACTGGACAGATCTGACTTAAATTATCCAGCCAAGTCTGACGGAAATTATGGGTTTAATTGCGACGTTTCCAAGAATCAATGCTCTGCACCTCAAATAACCTTATCATCATCATCCGGTGATCAAGGCTCTTTGATCAGTGATATTCTGCAACCATCTCGGAAGAATAGCAGGATCGTGATGATGATAAAACCGGGTTCTGTATTTTTTTCTTAGAGATTGTGCAATTTCCCTAAAAAGCTAGAAGCAATCCATTAGTTCTCAGTCCACTGCGAAGCCAGGTAGCTCTCTCTGCCTACTACAAAGTACAAAGATATCCTGAAACGATTTTGGCATTCAGATTGCTACACCAACTCCAATGTACTACAAAAAAATACCTTTCGAATTGCACACAGCTTGGTTTTGCCTGAGACACCAGCATTGATTATACTAGACATCTTTGTCGATGTGACATCATTCCCTTTTCATTTGTCTGTTCAGCTATGCCATTCACTGATGCCTTAACCAAATCTCAGTTTCTCATACACTTCTGCTTCTTACATGAGAACATCTTGATATTTCACTCGTCCAAAACCTTTAAGTTGGGGAAGGGAGGATAGGGGTTTGTTGCCATATGTACCTGGCTTCTTACAAAATGCCTTTTGTAATATATGGGTAACATATGGGTGGTTTATTGCAAACCCTGCCAGGGTCCTCTTCTTGTTATCAAGAGTACAGACAATTAGCATACTGTCTCTCCCTCTCCCTTGTCTTCAAGTTTTGCATCTTTGATTCTCACGAATCTCACATTGGCATAGGTTTTTAATCTCTTTCCAGTCACTTTTTCTTCTTTGCACCCATTCAAAAAACTTATAATAATATTGACTTTATTCCATTAATTATCTCCAAACATTTAAATTACTCAGCCCGTATGCCTAATGATACAAGAAACACTTTGAATTCGCCTCTAAAACTCGGTAGAAAGCGACAATGGGCGGATCAAACTTTTCTCAATCCAAATCAATGAAAAGTACTGAAGGATCACAGCTTTTGAACCATTGCCGATGAATGGTATCATAGAGCAGACGATAATTGCACAAGAGGGATTATTTGTGGATCCGCTGAACATCTATAAATCTGTTCACCAAGCAAAAAAGGCTGCTCTCACGATATTCCTTCTTTTTAGGGAACTAAGCCCCCTTTTTCAATAAAGTCAGGTAGGCTAACCTAAGATAATACAATTCTGCAGATTACAGGAAGCAATTACCAGGACACCTCGTGTCACTGATAAAATAAAAATACGGAAGAATATATCAACTAATAGGAAATGGGTAGATATCCATTCCACAGGTGCAACTCAAGACGAAGAAAGAACAGAACACATCATCAAAAAAATCTCTGAAATCTCTGAAATCCATAGTTACCAGGTAGAAGCACAGTTAGCACTTAGCATTTAGAAGAAAAAAATTATTTATAAAAATGAGCAAGCATGAATTTCGCACCCACTAGACTCCAGCAAGATACCAAAAAGAGATTCATTATGGACCTAGCTCTTTCCCCACAACTAGCCTACGAAATATCCCGAGTCCAAAGAGCATGTCTTCGAATAAAGTGCAGAAATCTCATTTATTACTCAGTCCAAGATGCCACCCCTTCGTCACTTGGCAATGGCTTTTCACCCAATTCCACTGTGAACAAATCCGGCCTTCGAAACATATGGATCCATTTCACGATTACAGAAATTTCTCGCATTAACTGAAACGAATATCAAGACTTGTCCATGAATACAACAAGTTGAACCAGCCCTCACATGATGCAAGAAATAACATGAATTAAAATGAAATAACTAATGCACTAATCTCACCTAATTCTTGGTTCAATACATCAAAGATGACATGCATATTTTTTATCATAACTTTCATCAAAAAATAAATAAAGTATTTGCAAGGAAATAAGCACTTCTACTGGCAAGTTAATGATCACATCAGTATACAGGGATAGGAGACAACGAGAAAACAGATGCACAGTTCTCATCATATACCGATTTTAACTCCAAATCGTCCTCTAACATGGGATGCCCAACAAATGTAGCAGCTATTCCACATCTTCTGAAAACTTGTTCTTCGAATGGCAGAATGCACAAGAGATGATCCAAAAAGCTCGACAGGTTTTTGAGCCTTCTTTCACCACCTTTCCAGGCCCAAAATGAAGGTGCTACGTAATGGATTTGCAGAGGACAGTCTTCTTGATGGCTACGAAATTTTTCTGAACAGAAATTAGGATATTTAGTACTCCTCAAATCAGACCGCAAATAAATCTTGAGAAATAAATCATACTAAAGATGAAAAGCAAAAGGTGACGAGGAAATGAGGGCCGCTCTACCTCTAAGCTTCCTATGCAAACGGAAAGAGAACCCCTTTGAGTCCACTGTCAGAACAACATGAGGCTGAAACAATACTGAAGCTTCCACCGTTTCATTCAGTTTCATCTGCCATAGACAAAAATTTAAGAATTAAGAAAGCAGTAAAAAAGCTGAATTATGTGGATGTCATGTACAGAATGAATTACGTTAAACATAAGATCACCCTAAGCTTTCTCAGATGCGGTAAAAGCTCCCATATTCCCATAACTGCAATATCCTCCATTGGAAACAACGACTTCAGGCCTTCCTTGCGCATCAAAGTCCTAGCCAGAAAAAGAAAAAATAAAAAAGCCGTACACATGTGAGCAAAGTATGAAATCAACCGTGGTATCGTGGAAAGAAAATCTCTGAATAGTTAAAGATTGCTCTTAGGAAGTCTGCATGTCAATGAACAGGAACATCTTGACAAATGCGATTAAAGTCCAAGCATTCAGCAGCAGATAGGACTAACACAGCTGCAAACCAATGAGAGAGCTATAGGCTTAAGCTTATCACAAAAGACACCGAGATACAAGAAGAAACGAAAACCTCCTCAAATAAAAGATGAACGAAAAAGGGTGAATGCTCAAACTTTCTGTCTAAGACAGCTACTCATATATATGCTCTGTAGTTAAGATGTAAACTGGACGTAACGAACGAGCGAAAATCGAATAACTCACTTACCCTCCAACACCAGAAAAACGAACGGGAAAAGGAGACAGCCGCCTGAGGGAATTCATAAGGCGGGCGGCTATGGAATCCCCTGAGACCTCTCCAGCGACGACAAAAACCCTGAACTCCCCGTCCCGAGCGGCCATTTCGATTGCCATTTTCCCGCGACTCCCGCACCCGCCAGAAGACGAGGAAAGGACCCGCTTTCCCATCGGTATCCTCAAGGAGGAGGAAAAAGAGATGGAACAGAGAAGGATCCATTTCATCCTCCAGGCTGCAGAACCCATCACTCTGGAAATGAAAATCGCCCGCCGCAGCAGCAGACTGGATTGGAGGGGGGGTGGGAGAGCCTCTACAGACCCCAGCCCTCCATTGTGGCGGCGCTGATTGAAGTACCTTTATACCTCACATCGCTTTCTCTTAGACGCGACAACAGACCCAACAGTTTCCCAGGTTTCCATGCACTATCAGAGTATGGTTTTCTGCTGGGGAAAATCCGGCAGAAACTCGGGTGACGTAACTTCGTGGGTAGATCCGAAGAATGCAATCCATTGCTGATATTGTACATATTTTACTCAGTCCGTAACACGATCATGAGAGAACTCCATGTAGACCACCCGCGTCTAAAAGCAGATGCTAATCCACCATCACGCTTGTGTAGGCAAGCGAGATCCAATCAAGTCTTCTCCCACTATGTATTCACCAAGCCCCAACTCCCTATCAATCATCCAGACTTGTTCCTCTACTGAATCTACATGGAGGTTGGTGGGTGTTATTCCAACTATTATAAATTGTACGACCTGCTGATGATCATGAATTAGAGATCAGAACAAAAGATTGCCGTACAACTTTCATGAGAAAACTTGTCACCTTGTGAGTATTTTTAGTATGTTGTGTATTGTACGCAGATCATAATATGAGAAAGGTAAGCAAAACTGTTTTGATAAATATGCGAGTTCATTTTATGACCATGAAATGGTAGGGATCAAGTTGTACGTCCAGTATCATTCTTGATGAACGAACCTTAAAGCTGATGGCAACGAGGTAATCATAGAGTGCTAATATGAGATGCAATATTATCAAGTTAGTGCACATAGATTGTGTTGGGCTATTACCCAAGTAATATTGATGATGACAAAGAGGGTTTTGAGAAAACTTGAAAGTTTAGTTAGTACGTGAGCGTTTGAAGACTTTGATCAGATAAGATGAGTGACTAAGTTAAATTCCCGAAAGGGGCAAAACGGTCCACAAAAATAAGAGTCAAGGAGAAAATGAATTTCAGAGATCCATTCTTGCAGCAAACATAGGCATGCGATCATTTCTTGGAAATGTTATTCCAAGGTGGTTATAATTATGTAAATTTGATATCAAAATATCGATTATTTAAATTTTAACTGACTTTAAATGATTTGTTGAGTATTTTGCGTAAATGAAAATATTTTAATGCAGCCAACTCAATCATTCTTATAAAAGTATCTTGTACATCTAGGTTAGGGTTTGAGCAAGATTTTGGTATCCCTTCTCCACTAAGACTCCTATGAGGTCCACTAGAGCAAGTTATTCTGTCTTCTTGAGCACAAACACCTACCTCAACAAGAGTTCAACGCGTGTCTTCATCATCAGCTACTATACATTGCATTTAAAGGTTCCCAACTTCTACTTCATTTACTTCAAGCAAACGGAAGTATGAGAATTTAAAGGTAATACTTCTTCAGGTCATATTCATTCCAGGTTAAATGAAGACCCTAATACTTGGCAAAGGTAAGCTAAGGTCTATCATTCTCGGCATCAAATGGGTAATTGACACCACAAGTTCAGTAAAGGCTATTAGAATTCTTGATTTTCGTAACCTGACTTGTTCCTTAATTGGTACAGTCAAAGGAATGTGGAGGCTTTTAATCCTTTTCACTATGGCTCATTAAGCCTTAGAAGATGAGCTAAAGGATTGTGGAAACATTTAATTTCCTACTAGTTGATTCAGTTTGTAATTAGTAGATTCTATAGGATGTTGAAGTTGTAATTCTTCACCATGTAATTGTATCTAAACGATATATTATGGTGGAACTCAAAGATAAGTCATTGGGAAGTGGATGTAGGTTTTCTAATAAACTATTATAAAATTTACTATGCTGATTGAATTGAGTGTGAAAAGAATGAATTTAGTTTTGTTAAGTGAGCGTGGTTCTGTCTTTTGACTCAATTTATCAAGGTTCCCTTTTCCGAAGATTTGGTTCAAAGTAAGATTTAGATCAGAAGTAGCTTGGCTCTCATCCAAGTTTCAGAGCAACAATTTATGCTAATCCCTGAAGCCACTTATGCTCCAATTTATGTTTTTATAACTTGTTTCATTACATTGTTTTCGCAGAAAATCTCCATGGTTTCTGTAAAACCTTCGCATATCTACCCAGATGCAAGGATGAGAGCACCACCAAACACCAGTTTGAGCGACACCATGTCCACTGCATTTACCTGCCCTCCAGGGGGACAGGGGGAACGGACGCGGCGGAAAATGAGCACATGACTACGAAGAATGGGAGGGATAGAAATCAAAAGAGCGACACAGAGGGAGAAGAGAGAGAGAGAGAGAGAGAGAGAGAGAGAGAGAGAGAGATTATGAAATAAAAATAACAATGTCAACAATCTTCGGTCAACCTATCTTTCTGTAAAACAACTCTAAGGTTTTCATACAAGTTCACAGATATTGGGCTTCAGATACCCTCAATCTTAAAGTCGCCGGGCCAGCTCATATACTTGGAACCCCCTCTTCTGGATTCCTCTTCGTCTAGTTCGGCATCTACGTTTACAATCTCCATGTATATTACTGTAATAGAGCTATCAACCTTTTGTCCATAACTTGCATCGAGAAACCTGTAAATTAAGTGACGAAAAAGGTTTGAAACCCAGTCGAGAAGATATGTAGTAACCTCATCGTCGTCAACTACCATATCTTTTGGAAGAAGATTTACTATTCTGGTCATTAAATGTGCCCAGTCGAGAATTTTAACTATCTGCCGCCTCTCCCGTCCCGAAACAGAGAACCATTAGCGCGGGCAGCTCCCGACTGGCCTTCCGGATGAAGTTCCCTTCCTTCTCCCTCCGTTGGTCCATTTGAAAACCACAGTGAAAATTACGCATGGTAGATCTACCTGGAGAACACCCATTAAATGGGGCCCTTACCCAACTTCGCCGCTAGAAGTTAATGAGCCGTGCAGATGACGAGGGCGAGTCACCATTTACAGCCGTTACAACATGCGGCGGCAACGGCTGTGGTCCTTGGAGTTTTTGTGGATCACCAGGTTTCCTCCGTTTCCCCACGTTAAGCCTCCCTCTTGGAACAGGAAGCCAGTGGAACTTAATACCAGCAACCGCAGCCTAATTCACATTCCACACCCGTATTCTTTATCTCTCAGCGCTCGTTGGTAATGGTAGCCAGATAACTGTCTACATGCAGGAGAACTTGCTAGGAGTTGATAACTGTTGGGATAGAAGCTACAGTAGCTTTTTATACTGAAAATCAATCATATCAGATGCAAAATATCATCAATGGGTTGTCTACTTCATCCATTTGCTTCCAAGAAAGGAAGAAATTTCTCTTACCACATCAGTTAGATGCGGTGAAATTCTTTTCACTTCATACCTCCCATGGATGCGGAGAAGACCGTATCGTTCAGTTTCTGATTAGTGACGTGAAGATGAGATCAACTTTCGGATGGAAAGCACTTATTCGGAGGATAATAATAAGTAAGGTGAAGCCGTACGCTGCGAATGCGCCATGTTAGAAACTTCCGGGTCCATCCATTCGCTGCTAGTAAAGGGAGAAGCCTACACTTGGATCCTTTAGTTCGCTTTGTCGACAGCTACAGGAAGCTGGGAGAAGCTGCAGATCGCTTCAACTACCACTCTGACTCAGGACTGCAGAAGTTGAATGCGGGACTTCTGCAACGGCGTATACGCGCTGCCACAATTGAATGGCGACATGCAGACAAGGAGTGAAAGAAACGCGCCCCACAGGTCTTCCCCAGCTCGTGAATGACATTGCGTTTTTCATCCGTGAGATCCCTTGTGCTCGCGGATGCGGTCAGATGGTGGCGATTCACACATGGTAAACAGACAGGATCATACCCATTTCAATGTCCCTTAATTTTCTCCTCTAAATCACGCTCGACTCTCAGGCATATCGTCATAACACCCCAAGAACGTTTCACTAGCATCACTCATTCTCTCTACCTCTCCATGTACTTATATAGATCATATATCATACACATCTGTTGACATTTCTCACTCCGCCATCCGTACTTCTCCTTCTATCTCCCTCACTACGTATGTCTCTCTGTATAAAAAACATGAACATCTATCGGTATTTTATACTCTTTTTACCCATCTCTTAGCTACCCAGTTCTGAGATTCACGCACAATCTGTGCCAAGGAATGGCTGCCCTAAAAGCATGCCGGCCCCTATTCCCAAAGCTGCTTCTCCATTGCCTGCTGCTGCCGACTCTCCTTCAGGTCGCAGCCAATGTTCCGGCACTCATCATCTTCGGGGACTCGACGGTCGACTCAGGGAACAACAACGACATCCCCACTCTCCTCAAGAGCAACTTCGACCCCTACGGCCGCGACTTCTCGGGAGGGAAGCCCACGGGAAGGTTCTGCAATGGCAAGCTAGCGACCGACTTCTTGTCGGAGGCCTTCGGTTTGCCCCCGACGGTGCCGGCCTACCTCGATCCCGCCTACGGTATCCGAGACTTCGCCGTCGGCGTCTCCTTCGCCTCCGCCGGAACGGGACTCGACAACGCCACCTCAGACGTCCTCGTAAGCCCACGCCGATCCAGTTTCATGATGCAGTGAATCCATGGTTTTTCCATTTGGCATACCGTGTTCTTGTCTGATGACTTTGGTGCTGAATGCAGATTACTACTAGAGATGGTGAACTATCTCTTACCCATCAAATTTCATGTACTCTAGGATGAGTTTTGGCGCTCACTACGATCCATAGAACTTCTGGAGTTACAAATTTACAATTATTTAATATAGTTACTTGCATTCCAGGCGGTAATTCCTCTGTGGGAGGAGGTGGCCTACTTCAAGGAGTACATCCGGAGGCTGAGAAAATACATGGGCCAGGCCAGGGCACAGAGGACGCTGAGGGAAGCCCTCTACATTGTGAGCATCGGCACGAATGACTTCCTCGAGAACTACTACACTCCCGGCATCCATAGCCGATCATCGGAGCTCACAGTGGAGCAGTTCGAGGACTTCCTCGTGGACATAGCCGCCCGCTTCATCACTGAGATCTACCGCTTGGGAGCCCGGAAGATATCCTTCTCCGGGCTCTCACTGATGGGCTGCTTGCCCATGCAGAGAACCTTGAACGTCGCCGGTACCGGCGGCTGCGTCGAGGAGTACAACCAGGTCGCGCAGAGGTTTAACGCCAACTTACACCAACTGGCCGGCAGACTAAGGACACAGCTCCCTGGGATAAGGCTTGTCGTCTCCGACCTTTACGACTACGTTCTCCATGTACTCAAAAATCCTTCCTCTTATGGTAAGTCCTGGGGCCTCATGTTCTTCAAAATGCATCTTCATATCATAACACCCTAACCCTAACTTCCACACCACCGTAAACCACTCCTATTCGACCATTTTTTCTAGCTTTGAACACAAGAAATAATCTCGGAACAGAGCCCTTGTCTGACTCCGGGTCGAAATCCCAAACTCATTCCCATGCTTACATCTCCACACATCCCCACCTACTGCCCCATTGTCTCGAAAAAGAAATCATCGTGCAGAGATAGCCTATATTCTTTGAATTGTCTCCATAGTCTTTTATCTTTTTCTTCTACGGTGCAAGAGTAATTGCATAGGGCGCTCGATTTACTCGTTTTCAGCGTCAGTAAAAAAGAACACAGACGGCCACGAAAAATCTCAGCATCAACCTTCTCGACAGCCTTCTCCCAACTGTTCATGGGATACGCAGAAGACGGTCACCCTCCCAAACCCATCTCCCGCATCCTAAAGTAGCCAGAAAGGAATGCGGCCGTCGTACAAAGGGTGATCTTTTGAGGTTCTCTGCACCTCACATCTGTGCCAAACGTGAAGGGAGAGGGTTAGAGAGAGAGAGAATGAGGGAGAGCAAAGGAGAGAGAGAGAGAGAGAGAGGTCATGACTGAGAGACCCCGTTGACATTTCAGTGTCTTTTGTGGTGGGCAGGATTCGAGAACATCGAGCAAGCATGCTGTTCTACAGGGTTGCTCGAGCTGGGTTACCTGTGCGACGGGCTGGATCCCCTCACATGTCCGGACGCCGACAAGTACGCCTTCTGGGACGCCTCCCACCCCACCGAGAAGTTGAACCGGCTCATTGCCAATCAAAGCCTCAATACCGCCCTCGCTGAGTTCCTCCGTTAATTGGCGGCATCTCCTACACGTTTGACCATCTGCTCCCTCGCTGACGAAGGTTGGGCCTCTTGGGTCCACGGTCTCTGATTCCTTTCTCTCTCTTCCATGAATCCTCTGCACGCTATAATGCCGATCTTCAATACACGAAACGGCAAGAGCTTCCGTATTTTCTGTTCAGAAACTCTAAAAGCGACGTTGACTAGGTCGTGATCAACCCCATTAACTCCGTTGACCAAAGAATGGACGGATCCATAGATCCGCAGTTCCCCGGATCACGTTATTCTCTTATGACACTGGGATTGATCTGTTCGTTGGGCCATGTTTCATGTTTGAACATAGTAGATTTTATCAAGACGTTGGTCACTCATTGGACTGCAATGAATGAACCCTAGAAGAAAGATAAGCCTGTTAGTTTCAAAGACTGAAATCAAGTCACGGAAGACTATCGATATTCAAGCGAAATCAACTTTTATTTCCCATGATTAAATATTCTATATTTTACCAGAAAACCCAAAAAAAATATCCAAAAAAACTACTCAATGTACCAAAATATATTTAAAATTGCCCCTGTTAGTTTATCTGGGCTCCCTACGCAGAAAAGAAAATTAATAGAGAATATTTTCAAGTAATTCTTTTAGCAGTCCTCCAAACATTATACTAAATATGTTGTTATGTGGTGAAAGAATTAATATAATATAATTTCTTCATGATAATGACATGAATTTTTTTTCACATTTTGATGAGAAAATATTATTTTGGATAGTCACAGGATAGTAAAGCACAAAAAAGTGAGAAAATATAAGCTGGCTTAGCATGGTTGAAGGACTTGGTACTACATAAATGGTAAGAACAAGATTTTGTAAGAAAAGGATTTTGGTAAGAACTCCTTGACTACCCTCCACGTTAAGAGTTTCAAGAAAATTTTCAGCATTCTCCTCTAAAACGTTTTATGGTTCCTCAATAGTTACATGATAAATCTTTGCTTCAATGTTTTTCAGCCCAAGGGTCGGCATTTCTAATCAAGAACTGCTTTACATTTAGTTGAAGTTTCTACTTAGTTTTTTTCCGTATAAAAATATTTCACAAATAAAATCCCACTATTGAAAAGAAAAAAAAAACCCCTAAAACCTGTGCAAGTGACAATGTCAACCAAAAAAAAAAAGTAATAGTTCAGAGGAAATATTCCGCTCATTTGACAACCCTCCTAACGTTTTAAAAGGCATGCCATGCCGCCTTTGCACCTATCAAAGAGGAGGGGAGTGGAAGGATAAATCATTGAATTAGCTGTTTCAATAGTTAGGGTTATGAAGAACAAATGTAAAGGCAGCTCTTGAATCTCAAAAATCATGAGTTACATTTTTTCCATTGATCTTTGATAAAACGTCAGTTAGAGGATTGGAATTCGAATTGATGGCTGTATTTTTGGATATCAATTATTTCCAATTTATGTAAGCCCTCATATTTCAATAATTTTCATTTAAAGTTATTTTGTTGACTAGCACGTGCATTTTTATAAATTACTAACTTCTCTTTCCCTCTCTCAATTTCCATATATGCATTCCCCTAATCCGCCATTGCTTTGCTTCATGGTCCATTGGAAAGATATTGGTAAAGGTGTCATGCATATTTCTCTCAATTATAGCATGACCTCCTTAATAAGACATTTGAGGTTATTAACATTCATTACAGTTGATAAACACATGGACAATACTCTAATTGACCATTCTTTATGTATAAATTAATATAGTTGAACACAAGCTTTACGCTATCGCATGCATCAGCACAAGCTCAATTCAAGGCTTCAAAGAATTATTTTCCATTATTAACTTCGGATTTATCAAATTTTGATTCATATATGGCCGCGACAAACTATAGTGGACGATTGTGGAACAAACTATACTTGTGTGATTTTTGGGTATGTCCAAGAGTGGTCAATTCTCTGATTTCAAGGAAGAGCAAGCATAGTATAATTTTGATAATTCTTAATTTTTTATTTAAGTTTTTTAGATTGCTATCTTGGATGTATCTAACCATCTATTGACCTTACTAAAATAAGTAAAATAAGAATGCATGCATGTGGCGCACCCCCCATGACTGTTTATTTGTAGCAGCTAGAAGGTCTACTTTGAGGGGCTGAAGAAAGCATATGAAAATGGGTTAATTAAAAATTGGTTGTAAATGGCAACTTGCTATTCAATTCTTATATGCACTTTTAATTTTTAACCAGCTGTAATATCTGGGTTTAATCAACATGTTTACTTTCTTCAGCTTTCTGTACATTACATCTAAATAACAAAGAAATAACAATCAAGCAAAACTTAGCTCTTTCCCCTTGGCTTTTGTCTAAAATTAAGGAAAATATTGACCTGAGTAGAATAATTTTTAATAAGAGTATCAAACTTTTGTGAAAGCTAGCTCCAATATATCTATTATTAGCTACTCATTTTGAAGAGGAAATCAATCAATTCTGTTTGAGAACTCAAAATGCTTAGCTTACATCCATCCATAGAAGATCATCTGGAATATATACAACTATTTCGTTTTCATGCCACACAAGGCTTAGAGAACAATCTACTTTGTAAAGATTTCATAGCAAATTACCTCGTCTTTCATAAGAGTTAGTGGGAATAAAAATATTAAATTGACCTTGAATGATATATCATCGGTAAGCAGATTTTATTTCACAGTAGGGATAAACAAAACCGCTTGATGTAAGCAGGTGTCTGTTAGTTTATAATAATAGTTATACATAAAATTATAAGAGTTAAGTCGGAACATTTTAGTATCATTCAATCTATGTTACGAAAATTTGGGTTGTTCTAACATTTCATGCAACAACTCTTTTAGTCAACTACGCATATGAATTTTAGTCAAGAAATATAGGGAAACTTCTAATCAAATATTAGAACTGTAACCAAATCATTACCAATCAGTCAAAGATTTGAGGGCATCGTGAACCTCGAAAACCGAATTTCATTTATTGATGAGTTTATAGGATCACAGAAATCGAAGAAAAAAAAATCCTTTTTTTTTTTTTTTTGAAGTCTGCTAGGTCCATTGGAAAGGGAGCAAAAGCGAGTACCTCTACTGACCAAGAAAAAAAAAAAATTAAATAACATCACGGTACACAATTCTTGATAAGTAAACAAAAAATGCATCATAAACTGCAAACCTGTATGGCACATAAAGAAGCCAAGTCTGTTCATGAAAAGCCTGGCGCCTGCCACTACCCAATTTGGACGGGTCCAAGTCTGTTGCTACGTGAAGAAGACCAAGACAAACAGAACGATGCAAAGAACAATCAAGAAAAGAATCATCATGAACTGTCCCTTTGCACTGGCTTTCTTCATGACCATTGCCACCTTTTTCTGGTAAAACAATGAAAGAACAAGAAACGAAATAAGCAAAGATGATTGTCGCGATTATCAGGCACATGCATCTAAGGAAAATATTAAAAATGAGCATTGGATGGGAGCCCACAAGTTCCGTCTCAGTCCCTGGCAAATACTTCCAGAGGAAAACCTAGGCAAGAGGCTTGTGAAGAGGCAAGAAAGGAGTGCAGTTCGTTCTTTCAGAGATGAACAGGAAATTTTAGGCAGGTTTCAGATCTAACCTGCACAAAATCAAGCCTATTCGAAGTAGTCTCCATCTCAGAGTTCAAGTCCTCCAAGATCTTATCCTGCATCAACATTACACAAAGACCACAATAAAGTTATTCGGCTTCCATCTGAAATACGATAGTTTCACATTCGAAGATTGAGTGCTCTAGCATTTTTCTTAGAACTGAAATGCTGAAGTGGACGAACACTCGAACCACAGAGTTAAATCTCCATACCAATCTTCAGAGATATGATTAGCACAAGCGATAAAACCACAGAATAAGCCAAAACATAGATAGTTAAGCTCAAGCATGTCTTTCCTACCTTGAACGACAATGCGATCAGAACTTCAAAACTGTCATTGAACACCCAAGGACATAAAACTAAACCACTAGTTGGGACATGGTCAAGAACTGGGAATGGAAAACGTAGAAATTGGATGTAGTTACCAATCAGATGTGTTCATATCTTTTGAGCAAACGCGGGTTGAAATATTGATAGTGATTGGACACGTTGCTAGTTTCTTTGCGATTAGAAAGTGAAATTGTGGTTGAAAGGTTGATTTTAACAGGGAAAACTAAGTACTAGGAAGCACTCAGCTTTCCAGAAATCCGAACGCTTAGGGAGCATTAATTATGTTTAGAGACCTACTTTTATTCAATTGTGCATGTATTGAAATTTCACGTCTTGGCATTTTGATGAGAAAATATTGGCACTCAATTTAGATTTAAATGCGTGCATATGGACTACATAGACATAACAGTCCAAAATAGATATAATTAGTATAAATCAGCGCTGTATAGTTGTAAACCTATGTATATCCATATTTCTAAGCACATAGAGATACTAGACCCGAAGGTACAATTCAGGCTTGGCAATGGCATTCAAAACTACTGATGATTAATTTTAAAACCTGTCCAGCTGAACAGAACATGGAGGAAGGTCACTACTCTGTCAGCTGATCAGTAATAAATATTTCTTCAACACTCTGCACTAATTTGAAGACCCTCCTTACAATGTAGACGTGAATGTCTTACAGGTTACTTATGTTTTAAGTAGAACACAGAAATAATTCGTTTAATTGCATACGAAAACTGGCAGATTAACTAGACAATAATTTTCACATACAGAAACTCTTTGCATGCATGCCAGCATCTATAAGAGAGATGCAGGTTGTTATTATGGAGAGTACGGAACTAAAATGCACATTTGCCGCCCATTTCTTGAGAACACAAGCAACTATATTGCAGACCATGATATGTTGGCTCTGTGACAACTAGAACTCCTACCGCCTAAAATATCACAAAGATATTCACCCAATCCACTAATTGTCATCAGAATCAGCAAGTCTACGCTGGAATTACATGCTCTCACATCCAACTTCTGACCAATTCTTATCAAAAATAAGGTAAACTCTATAAACCAGAAAAAGTGGTTATTAAATCCACACTCAATTGAATACCAGATGCAATATGATTCTGAACTATAGCTGAAACAAGTAAAACCTATGAACTGCCAGAAATGGCCCAAAGCTCTACACAAGTGATACAAAACTCTAACCGTCCATATCACAACCCACAATGACACCAGGCAAATATCTTATCCGATCCCAACTTCAAGAATTCAGGTACGGATGGAATAACAACTTTTCAACTGAAGTTAAACTATAGTTAGCAGTTTTGCCAATATTACCTGTCCAATGAGCTCCTCGTGAATTGTAAGCCCAATGCCGCCAATTCTTTGAACACTGACACTAAGCTGATCAAGCTCCTCATCTTGCTTTCTGAAGCACAGGGAATAAGTAGGATTTTAGTACGTGTACTAAGCTATTCAGTTAGTTACACAACACAGAACAAAAGATAAAATCAAGAATGAATCCTAAAATTCAAAATTTCTTGAGCCAGAACAATGAGAACTTGAAGAAAATTATAACCAATGATCCAAAACAAGAATGCTTGTAATTGCCCAGCACCGCATCATCAACTTCGTGATGTATCCATTACTATATGGTTTTGTATTCTGAATGCATCTAAATGCTTTGCTTTATTTAATCGAACAGCTTTGCACGATTGATGGCATAAGATTGTACAGCAGTGATAATTTTCTGCCCAGTGAACTAATGCATTATTTTCCTGGCCTTCTGTGTTACAAATGTAGACCCTTATTAAAAATATGAAGCAAGCCATAGATTTGATAGAGTTAGGGATGTCTGGTGGGGTTGATGGTAATGAAGATGATATGGTAAGATAATTGATAATTCGCCTTTACAGAATAAAAAGCTATTTCTTCAATTATTTGAAAAGCAGAAAATGAATCATCAATTGATAGAGGAAAACAACACTTGATCAGAAGTGATTGCCGATCTGATTCTGAAGAAATGAAATCATCATTATCTTCTCCCTCATAGCTGTTGGATTTGCCACCCAGATGAATGTCATTTGGGAGCCTCATCATCTCTCGGTGCTTCCCATCAGTACTGGAAACAAGTAGTTTGCTCCGATCTCTTGCAACATCTAGAGCTTTCTTTACGGTGCTCACCTACATCAGTCAAACCCCAAAGAAAAATATCAAGCTGATTAATAAGACAAGAGCATTAAAAATCTAATCAAAAGTGAAAAACTTCATCCAGACTAATAATGGCTGAACAAAACATTGGCAAACAAGCAGGCATGTGAAAATGAAATGCACTAGAGCCTTTTATTTTGCCCTTCATTTCCCACATCCAAAACAGAAGCTGAACATAAGCCTTACCTGATTACGGGCGTTACTAGTCCATCGACTTCTTTTGTCAAGCTCGACTTCATCTATATGATAATAAGCTGGGTCCTTAGCAGCAACTGTGATTGCCTTGTCCAGTTCAACTACCTACCTATGAAGAAGGTCATAGGTCAGCAGTAGCATGGAATGCCGAGATTTGATATAAATAATTTTATTTTGTTCACAAATGAAAGCAATCCAAGTATCAGATGGTAGTAAATATAGTAAAAGGTTGGTGCTTAGCATGATCTAATAAAGTTCTCTAGGCTTTCCCCTGAAAGTGGTGAGCCAAAATTCGATAAATTAAATGGAAGGAACAAACAAGAGCTCAAGTAGAAATAAGAAAGAGGAAATGAAAACCATTCTCCACAGCCAAGGTAGCGAGTCTCCACAATCGAGATCATTAAAACGAGAATTTAGAATATATCCCAAAGAAGGATATGTGAGCAACTACAAATTATACTTTATCATCATCATTAAAAGCTCCTTATACATAGAGAATATAATATTCTGAAGAAGTGTCAACCTATAATTACTATGAACACTGCAAAAAAACATTAAACAGGCTAAAAGCTCATAAGGCCAGCCCCAATACCTGCCATTCAATGCTTTCACAGCTTCCAAGAAGTTCCCGGGTGAGGTGAACATACTCCCCCGTATTTGATGGGGATTGTTTCCATTGACGAAAGGAATCCTGTAATTTATCAATCTGCCCAAGACGTGTGTTCTGTTAACTTCACATTTTATGGGGAAATAAAGAAGTAAAGAAAAAAAAAACAGGAGTATTACAAGAATCTAAGAATAAATCATAATTCAGAAAAGATATGTACACAAGAGAACTCGATACAAAAAAAGTTCTAAAGAACATCATGAGGACCATGTTCCCGCATGATTTGACTTTCAAATAAAAATGTGGTTGGGCTGTCCGCGGAGAAGGTTATGTAAATACAGAGAAGCAACTGGGAACTAGTCTTCGCTGATGTCAAATCAAGATGTAATTAATAGTTGCGTTGTCAGAAAATTAGGAAGAAATGATATGCATTCAGGGCCCAGCTTTAGCTATTTGTTATGTGTGAAGGTCTTTGAATAGGTGAATGCAGTCGAATAGAATTTACTTTTGAAAGAAATATCACTAAAATATAAGGTTTAATGACCCCAAGTTGGACCTATTGCGCTGGTAGGTTGTCCAGAAAATGAGTTAAATATTATGTGCAGTTACATGCATGAGTGATTGGGAGACTGGAAGGAGACGCTTACATGGAAAAGAATTCAATAAGAGTAGATACGGCCTTTCCTATTCAATAAGAATAGGAAAGGAACATGACATAAGCCTCTTCTTTCATATGGCACAGTGATGCCATAGTGAGGACTACATCATAGTCAGCCATGTGTTGGAGACCACCATCACTGAAGCACGAGAAGACCAGATGGGTAGAAACCCGTCACCCTCAGATTCACTCAACTAGGATACCCATCTTCCCTACCTAGTGTACACAATGCTAACCTACAGAAATAACCTAATAGATTTGGTGAAATATTCTCCACCAATAACTGTAGATAACAAGGGGTATGGCTCCCTGCCTAGCATGCTTCTCTTATCATGAAGAAGTTTGTGCATCATTAAAGCAACAGTAAGGCACAAGAAATACGCACAGAAAATGTGAACAAACAAAAGAGGAGGGGATAGGGCGGTATGTTTATAGCACATAAATCATATTGTGAATATAAGAAAACAAAAAGTAAATAAATACATCAAATAATACGACCACAATGTCAAAATGCAGCAAATTAAAGCTCCATATATCAAACTACACAGAAATAATATTTCAAATGGACGTACAGTTTACTTTAAACAGAAACTTAAGGAGCTGATCTAACCTAAGAATTCGTGCAAACCACTATAAAATTCTATTTTTGTCATCCTTTGGCACACTTTTCGCCCTTAATTTGTCACATTTGTTAGGTTAGATCTATGTGTCAATTTTATTCTAACGTTTTTGATAACCCAATTTGACACCTTCCCCACCCTTCTTTGGTCTGCATGTCTTGAGGTTAGCACATTTTATCTAGACTACTTACTTCAGTCATAAATTTATCATGATATATGGTCTCACTCCCAATGTACTGAAGGGGTCCTAGTAAGAATTTTACAGATGAATTCAAGGGCGACATCCATTAGTTTAATAAAGAAGAGACTGAATCTCAAAATAGAATCTAGGACCTCCATTATAATTAGAGAATAGCCTACCATATATAAGATCCAATGAGAATATTAGGCCCACATCCCTCATAATATCTTAGAGGCATAAATATCAGGTCTAAAGCTCTACTTCACTCAAAGAATTCTCAGAACACGCCTAAAATCGGACATCCCTCATAGCATTGTGTAAAAATGATAGATAATCTCACAAAATACAATTGATATCTTCACGAGTGACCAAATAAAATACAATAGATTCTACTTTCCAGCAGAACTGGCCCAATGGACTAGATGAAACTATTTCAGTCACCTGGATATGCAATTCATGGCTATTTCTGCCAAATTAAAAAATAAACAGGCTAATGCAAAATTAGCAACAGAAAAAATCAAATGCTGACCCCAGGAGAAATCAGATACAAGCTGAGAAGGACAAATAAAATAGAAAACAAATGTGACTTACAGATTCCTGAATTTCCTCCTTTACAATGTAGAATGGATCCTGAGCAGAAGTCATCGTGCTACAGCCACAACCTAAAAAATAAAATTTATCAGAATAGAACCAACGGGTTAAACAATTGTGACTTTTACACACTGTAGGCAAAAAATCGAATACATATTAATTTTCCGCGTATTAAAGCAGGCTGAGAAACCATGTTGACAATAGAAATTACTGAAGAACAAGAAATATTTTCATTGTCCAATTTTAATTCATTTTCTATGCTCTTTGTACATTCATGAGGCCTCATGTTGCACGCAGTACATCCCCAAGCTATTTCAGTTGAGGTGCTCTGTCAAGAGAGAGCACCATAGGATTGCTATGACTAAAATATACCCATCGAGCGAATCTTATGGAGACATGAACTATTATAAAGAAAAACATAAGGATTTTAGTTACCTTCCTAAGCTGCAAGTTCAGTTGATCATAATATTTTAAAGCCCTGGAACACATTTCGGGCTAGTCCAGGAAATCATTAAGACCAAAGAAAGGAAATCACTTGTTGATTTTAAAGGGGGGGAACGTCTCAAAGTAACAGGTAAGCGGGCGCATGTAGTTCAAAGGCACGGTCATATTCCTCTCATCTTGATCAAACTGCTTTTTTTCAATCTCCCATCTTGATCATTAGCATGTACAACCAAAGTAACATTTGCAAAGGTAAAAGCTTATATCCTACCTTGTAGGGCTAGATTCGTCCTTCACACTTCTCTGGACTCAGTCAAGCCAAAAACATAGATCATAAAGATAGATGTTGCCCAAGTTCAATTGTTCTTCGTGATAGGCCATGTAAGCTAAGAGCCCCTCCACAGTTTCGTGATCATGGCAAACGCTCTCAATCACTATAACCACTATTCCCACTGGTTTTTTAGGTGACTCTTGTGAAACTGTGCACAGGTTTTAAGGGATCTTAAGGGTATGTCAGATTTTCAGTTTTAAGTCTCATCTACAAGGCCTGCTTTCTTATCCTGAAATCTGCTCTCAATCACATAGTTTTAAATAACTATAATCAATTCAATACCTACATACCTTCTGAGAGAAATATTGAAAGTAGCACAAAATTCCAATTTTGGGGAAGAGAAAATAAAATTTTCAAATACATCAAATAATCATATACGATCAAGATGATTGAAAAGCAAAGCCTCATTAATTTCAATAGTGGAAGCAGTAAATTGAGGAATCAATCAAAAAAAATCGAAATTTAAATTGCCAATATAGTTTCTGAGGCTGACTGCTACGACTGTAGGTTAAAGTGCCATTATAGATCCTCTACTCTTCACTGCATCCTTGAATCTACTGATTACCCTTAGTTCTTCTCTATCGATTTATTTTTATCTAAAAAATAGTAAACGAATGTGCGCAAAGAGTCAGCAAGTGTATAATCATTCTTTCCACAGGTCCATATAACTAGTGGATAATAAAAAAGAAAAGAAATGGAACCTATTCAAAACTTGAAAATCGGTGGCATATAGCACATTGCTGTAGGCAAAAATCCGGACTTCCAATCCAACCGAAACATTCCTACATGAAGAAAGAAAACGCTTCTATGCAGCTCCAAACCTTCAAATCCACAAATTCATCTCACTTGGAGAGAAATCTCCAGCACTAAAAGTGTCCACACACCAGAGACCTCTCGGTATCAACCATGCGCGTGATGACTGCCACATCGTGCATAATATTCACCGAAAAAAATTCATTCGATGTACTCAATCTGAGAATAAGAAACAGCATCTCGAAACCTTAATCGCCTAGATCAATCCCCAATAAAAATCCATGAACCCCAGGAAGAAGCTCCGAGTCGAAAAGAAAATGAAAAATTCCGAGCAGGCCGGTCTCTCCAAGAGGAACCAAGAAAATTACAGAACAGATCAAGACACGATCGCTCACGTGTTGTCAGCGTCGGTTCCCGGAGTCAATGCCTCAAATCGAGCACGCAGAAGAAGTTCAAACACCAGATCTCAAGAGCAATTCAAGGAACCAACGGCGACGAGGAGCAGAGGGGGCTTACGTCGTGATGGAGCCGGCAATACAAGGGCCTCAAATCGACAAACGTTGACTGCGTCTGGCGCGCCGATCCCCCAGCAGCCTCCTTCCCCCGAGAAAGGAGTCGGAGATCGTGAAACAGAGCACCGTCACGAGTAGCTGGCTATGCAGCCCCCCTCAGATATAACTCCCACTAATCTCAGAGAGAGAGAGAGAGAGAGAGGAGACAGTGGACGGACCGGCAGATGATGCCTGAGGCATTGAGAAAAAGCTCAAATGGGCTCTAGAACAGTGAGCGGATCATGGGCTATATGGGCTGCTAATGGGCCAAGACGGTAATGTACAAGATGAGAACCAAGAGAAGCTCGAAACTGATGGGCCAGTAATTCTGGAAATGTGAAACATGGACTACAAGGAAAGGCTCAAAACTAGATCAGGCCCAAGGAAACTGAGTGAATAATGTGTTAGAGTATTAGCTCAAAACTCATTTTCATGTTGACCAATATTGGCACATAAGTTTTCTAGTCATGTAACCCTTTCAAGAATTTCTTTTAATGGTCATACATATCTTGAAAATGTTGACCAATACTTTCTTAGAAATCTAGAAAATCTTCCCTAGGTAAGGTGTCATGGCACAAAGCTATTTGTATCCTATCTCACTAAGCAAATATCCAACGAATCACATCAACTTACAAGCCGAGAAGGATATGAAGATCCAGTATTGGATCGCTAGATTGAACGATCATTGTGGCCGGAAAAACTGCTCGATGCTTGTTCTCTCATGGAATGCTGGAATAGGGAACTCGTGAATTGGCTCTTTGTATAAAAGGGGTAGATCATCTTCCCTAAGTCAGAGTGAGATGCACCAGTTGACCATCAACATTTTCATGTCAACTCGAAGAAGAGAGGCTGCTTGGTGCCAACAAGGGCAACCTAGGCTGGTCTGGGTGAAAATCGAGGTGAGTTCAATCCTTGACCTGTGATAAAGGGCTTACCTTACAATACTCGATAGGGGTGACTCCTTGTCCATGTGACATGTTCATAAGAATAAATCTAGAACTTGAATCATAGCTTTGATACCACTTTGACACAGCATAAATTATGGGAATAAAAAATTTGGTCCTAAATGCCCAAGTTGTGAAATTTAGGGTGAAAAAATAAAGAAAATCAAACCTTCGGTCTACTAGGTATATTTTTTATTAATTATTAAATTCACAAAGGTCAAATATGTCCTCGAACCCAAAAGGGTGATTTTTTATAATCTTGGAATCAACAAGGATCAAAGCAATGTCTCTTGAAATATACAAGGATTAAAGTGAAGTTCCTTGAATCCACAAAAGTTACATGAATCCATAAGCACTCAAAACTTTGTCTAGGAGAACTAAAACTATAATAACCAAGATGATTTCAGGGTTACAATATGGTAACAATTAAATATGCCAAAAATCAATAAGGATGTTCTAAAGATTGAGTCAACATATGAAGCAACTTCAAAATGCCTTAAAATAAGAAAATTACCAAACACTTAGACAAATTATTAATCCACTTTCTTTGGGAATAATTTAGTTTTAGGCGTTTTGGTGTCTTTTAATATTTGTAGTCCACATTTACATTTCTAGACAGGCTGGCCCATTAGGTTTGAGCTTCTCTTGGTTCTGTGTACATTGTTTTTCATCTAAGGGGAAATAGGCAAATGGCTTTGATAAGCATTGAGACAAACATGTTGATTTCTCAATTTGTACCCTAGATGACTGGGGGATGAAGAAAAATTTTTATACACTTACACCTAGTGTATTTTTTATTATTTATTTTTTGAGGAAAAAATTTGGACAGCATAAATACAACCAAGTAAAGTAGCCTGATTAATTTCATCTCATGTATTTATTCAATTAATTTTACTCAATAAAATTGAAGAAGGACAAGAGTGAGCTCAACAAAGAATTGTAAGTTGGAGCCTAAAACAAAGTTGAAGCACAATTAGAAATTGGTTGATATCAAATGGAAGACAAGATTAAGCCAAAATGACTGTAGGTGCATTAATGAAGCCCAATTTAGGCCCATTAGGAAAACATACTCCATATAATTCCTGATTGTTAAAAACGTAGTTAAGAGAAACCTTAGACTTTTAAGCATAGGAATTGATCTCTACTTGGGAATTGAAGTGGGCTTTTGCCATTGAAGATGTAATGCTTTTCCCTTGGTCATAAGACCCCCACTTAGAAATTAGTTTTTCACAACTCCTTGAGAACATATTTGACAAACCTTCAGTTAAAATAAGGCTAAAAACCTTCTATTAATATGAGGTTCAAGCTAATAATGGGCAAACCAAATTTTGGTCCACCTGTTTTTTTTAGCTTCAACTTTTAATCCCTAGGAAATTAAAGGTGGTAGAAATTTAGTCATCCAATTATTAAAAAGATAAAAAATATGTGTAATGAACCATTTTAGTCGTTATGGTGTGCTGGCCCTGGGAAACTCCGCCATCATCCGTCACTCGGGCCCACACAATGTTTTCAGGGTAAATACTGTCGAAAGGGGCCATATTATTTTTAGAATATATATAATTTAACTAATATGAGATTTTGGAACTATAGGGTTGGCAGGCCCACTCAGAATCGATATTCTAATAATCATAGCAGTTTCGGAGACTAAAATCTCATCAGGACATTTTAGTAATGACAAAGGTTGCGATAAGAGAATGGGGGAAGACGCGCAGATGACCATTTCAGGACAGGGAAACCATGGCTTTCGAGATATCAGGTCTCGCCGGTCAACGTTATAGCTAGCTTTAATACGATACGGAGATTCCCACGCGTTCTCCGAGACCCGGCACGCCAGCTCACGCGCCACACGAACTCAACGGTTGGAGGATGTCGACTTTCGACCCTTCCCTTTCTCTTCTGGTTCACGTCTCTCTCTCTCTCTCTCTCTCTCTCTCTCTCTCTCTCCCTCTCTCTCTCTCTCTCTCTCTCTCTCTCCCTCTCTCTCTCTCTCTCTCTCCCTCTCTCTCTAACTAATCTTATTGTTTTCACCAAACCCAGAATCTAAAGACACTTGTTTTCTTAATCTTCGTTCCCATGTCTCCGTCTCTCAATTTTCTGTTCGGCTCTCTCAAAGCTCTTTTACAGTGGAGAATCCGAGCAGCCCAGAAGCTGTGGCGAGAAGAAAATTACACTCATCGTACCCGGAGAAGCTACGTATCACGAAGCTAGAGGATAGGTATTGAACCATTCCGCGTCCTTCCTTGTGAAGCACGGCCGGCAATAAACCCGCGTGCGGACCGCCAAATCCGAGTACTCCGTCGTTGACCTTCTCCGTGGTAGACTGAATCATTGGAAGGAGGGGGAAGACTTGACCGTCCAGGCACCGATATTAGGCCAAGGAGGGGGGGGCGGGGAGAGGGGAAGCAACCCTGAACCGGACGCGTGATCGGCAGCCCTCGCTCAACCTCGCTCTCATCTCTCGTCGTTTCGTTCCTCAACGAGATCCCTGGATCCCGGTCCTTCTCGACCTGAAGCCCTCGCTCATGGCTGTGAGTATTTCCCCTCATCTTCTGCCGTATTCTCCCGTGCCTCTCTCTCTCTCTCTCTCGCCTCTCTAGGCTTCTGCAGGATAATCTCCTCCCCACGGCCTTCGGGCTTCCAATCAATTTTTAGTTCATGGAAAGTGAGATAAAATCAACACCATCCTCCCTACGCTCAATATTCATCACAAAAGCTTATCCTTTCTCTCGTCTGGCCGATCTTCATGGCGAAGCATCAGAAGTTGAACAAGATCTCCGATGGGGAGTGTTCGTCCAGCCCCCCGTTTAATCTTTTACATGCAATTCGATGGATATGATTGAGGAATTATTTATCTAGTGCCGTCGATGTATATGCAAAGAACACCACCTGATGGGGACCCTCTTCGTTTCAGCAACGCTCGCATGTCCCAAAGTTCGGAAACTGGGAGAAGGAGCACGTCCAGTACACCGTGTTCTTTGAGAACGCCCGGGTGAAAAAGGGAGCCGGAGGGAGCCTGATCAACCCAAACGACCCCGAGGAGAATCCTAGCGCCTTCAATGACCAGGACAAATCCCGGGAGGAAGAGCATCAAGAACGTGCATATCAGCAGTTCCACAGAGAGCAAAGACATGGGAGAGCGGAAGGCGGTGAACGAGACTACTACATGAACTCTCCCTACCGTGTTTTCGATAACCGGAAGGAAGATACCAGTTCAGAGAGAATGAAGAGCTACAGGAGTAACACTACCTCAGACTTGACCAATATACGAAGCCAGCCATGGAGTAGGGAGGGAGTCGACGAGAGAAACAGGCTAGCCTCTTCATCGTCCTCCCAAAATCCTTCACTGCGACCCAAGTTTACACAGCAGGATGAACCGGTCAGTGGTTATCAAATTCTTGTATAGTTTTCTTAATTTTATCGTTTTCCGCTTCGTAAAATGCTGACCTTTATCTGTAATTTCTCGAATTCTGGCTGCAGCAACACCACAGAGTTGTATCAGTGCCGAAATTTGGTGACTGGAACGGTGGAAACGCTGATGCTGGAGCTGGTTACACGTTGATATTCGAAAAAGTGAAAGAAGATAAGCAAAATGGAGGGAGCCTCCCCCCAAATCCGTCATATACACCCACAAGATACGCACAAGATCAGAAAATGAGCAGTGGAAAATCATCACGATCAAAGGTATGCTTAATCCAAAAGCTATCTATCCAATCCTAACATTGTAGATCTCTCGTTTGTGTATTTTTTTTTAAAAATGTTTGCATACAAGTAACACAAACAAACCTATGCTAACAAAAAATAAACCTACAACACTCATAGTCCGTTGATCTTGCGTTGGATTGTCTAATAACTTGAATATTGGATTAGAAACAATATTAATATTAGGTTTGCATGCTCTCTATTTATGTTGTCTATGTGATGAGGGTCAAAGTTTTTTGCAAGTAAAGAGAAGCGATAAGCTTTAGTCATGTTTGAACTATGAAGCTAGGCTGCTCAATGACTCCGAAAACTATCTCATCCTATGCTAAATTTTGCTACAATGAGAATATATTATTACAGATGTATGAACTTATAGCATCACAAATTTTGAGAGCTGATAGATAAATTATTTTACATGTGATGCATATTAGAAAGGTTCCACTATGAAAAAAACTTTAACCCATTGGTACTTTATGAGTTTAATCCATTAGAAGCCTTTTGCACTTGAATTTGATTGAATCTTTTACATTATTATATTCTTGAGTTATACATTCCCTATATATTTTCACATTTTACAATCATAAAAAGTTCTTGGTACACAAAATAAATAACCAAATTAAAATGGTAGCCTAAATTTTAATGCTTAAATAAATGTATGCATGCTTCTCATTATCAATGTATTTTAACTTTACACAACCTCATTCCTTTGGAATTAAAAATAAGAAAGCATAGATAGAATCCCTCCAATTTCCTCTTGCTAATTTTCTTTACTCATTGCTTTTACAGATGTTCTGCTGCTTCTGTCCCAAAGCTGAATGATGATGTTACAACAAGATATACCCATTTTGAACACAATTGTGAAGTGTATTATTTGTTTCATTGACTATATGTGGGTTATCAAGTCAATGATTTCACTATCATGATGCCTCCATCATCAAAGGATTTGCTTCTAATGTGTATCCCAACAGACTAATTCACCACGAAAATCACATTTTTCATTAAGTTAAATATATCTCATTTTTTATATTTATTATTAGTTAATTAATATTTATTATAAATAAAATTCTCAAGTTCAACAAAATTTACATGATTTGGTTGTGGGTATGAGCTATAATAATATGAAAAAATGAATGTAAACAGAAGGAATAAATAGTTCAATTATTGAATATATAATGGTTAAGGGAATGAAATAACAAATCATTTGGTTAGGAGGATAGGTTAGTTGTCATTATCGCAGTTTTAAGTTCTTCTACTTTATTTTTATTTGTGGATGCTTTTTAATGAGGTCAAAATTTACTAAAATTTGAGAGGCCAGAAATTTTGATACCTAAGAACCTAAGGCAAGCCCTCTCTCTTTTTTTTCATATTTAATCAAGGATTTGACTTATGAGTTGCCTAAGTTGGCATATAAAATATTACCTTTCAGTAAATGTTATTGCCACAAGAAAGAACATAGAAAAGAGTGTCAGACTACTAAAAAAAAAACAATTAGAATGACCATAGTTAATCATTAGAAACATTTTTAGAATCTTCCAAATCCAAATTAAGAGGTAAGAGTCCTATAAGGGGATTACCTTCAATAATAATCGAAAAGCTTTTTAAAATTTAAACTTAAGACTTTCAGTGAGGACTTACTACAATTTTAAAGGCACTATAATAGAGGAAGGTTCTACAACTATTGCCCCACTTCAGAACATCAAAGGAAGCTACACAAGTAATTGCAACCATTATTTATTTTTTATTAAATATTGTACTGAACAATGTAGAATTGTTAAACTAGAAGGGTTATAGAAACACTTCTATTGACTTACACTTGTGAAGTAAGAAGATGTGTTTTGGGAACACTTGAGCTGACCTACAATAGTGGATATAGATGAAGTTTTTTCTGAATAATTTGGTAGACCTAAAGTCATGAATTTAGAAGCTGCTATTTGAAGTCTTGGTATAATATCACCAACATATCTAAACATGTTTTTGACAAAGTTGATGTTGAACATGGCGTTGATGAACCTAGATACACTAGATGCTGGTAGATGAAGATTATCACTAGAGCCACAATTATCTCTAGAAGCTTGTTATCCTTGGACTAGAGGATTGAAATACCATATGGACATGGAAGCCATGCCAACAATCTCACACATACAATATCATGTGAGAATGAATTGCTCCAATTGAGGATGAAGATGCAAGTGCTACTACTACATCTCTCATTGTTCTCTCTTCACCAAATATAAGGAAGGAGATAATAAATTTCTAATACCCCAGTAATCAACTCTTTATTCCCTGAATTTGGGATTCACAACTACTCAAGAGTGCTTTCCCCAAACTCTCAAGGACTAAAGAAGATAGAGTGAACCAAAAATCTAGCAAAATAGGATCACAAATAGTCATTCTTTGATCAGTAATGAAGCATACCAAAGGGGAACTCAAAAAAGACAATCTTGTTGGATCAACCTAGTTGGCTCTATGATACAATGTTGAAATGAAGAGAGCCAAAATAGAAGGTGTGGAGGAACTTTCCTCCATCTCAAGGCATAAAGGGGAAGAGCAAGAAACCATCTAACTTTTCATTGGCAGTTATCATCCCTAAAATAAGAAGAGAACCTTTCATGATCTTTCTCGATATACCCTCAAGTTATGAGTTTTTGTGATGACCATCATCATGATGTGAGTTTCAATATATGATACATCACGATTTATAAATCCAACAATATAATTCCTCTTAAGGATAACATAATAGAACTCAGAAAACATAAAATTATGTGATTTTTTTATATATATATATTGGATCTAGTGAGTTAAAACTATGAACCAAGAGAGGGAGGTAAATTGGTCTTCATTCTAGTTTCTTATTTTTTGGCAATTCTTACATTGATCTACAAACCCACAGGATTATAGTAATTTGGCTTACATCCTTCTCCGCTCTTTAAGGACAATGTTATTAAGTTCAATTAATTCATTAGTAAAATACAATAAACATATGTGTATTGATAAGCCTATACTAAGCCATAAAGTCTTCACTAAGCCTATGTTAAGCACGAAGTCCTCAATAAGCCTATACTAGGTTTTTTCAACTTTAGAGAATGAGGTAATGAGTGAAGAAAAAAATTACATTCCTACAAACTTAACATATAACCTTTTTTGCATAAATTTCCTTCCTTGGAGATGCAAAAGTAGCTTTTGGGGTGAGAGTCAACAGATCCCTAATCAATGGCTAGTTTTTGTTCTCTTCTAGTACTCAAATTAACTTGTAAACTTAACATGTAAAATGCCTAGTTCTCTTAACATGTGGTTCTCTTCTTTTTTACTAAATAATGATGGAGATAAAAGTTCACTTTTTATATGTCAACTTTTGGTCACCCATTTACAATGGTCAGAAATTGAGCCATTTACTATCACATCAACACCTAAATTTAATCTTCATAAATGTGAAGTGTTTATTAGTCTTGAAAAATGATACAAATATTAAATGTCAAATTTCATTATGTTTGTCTTTCAAATATCTTTACAACAAATACACACATATTTATAGCTAGTATAGAAATTTATATTTCACATGTCTATTTTACATGTCTAAAGGCCATATGTTGTGATTTATATTTAATGGGTGACATAATTCTAACATTCTGATATCACTACATTAGCCTTTGTTATATTTTTTTCATCATCAAACTCTTAAGACTCTTAAAGCAATAGCATATACCCCATCTATGAGTGAATTTTAATAAGCCACTAATCTATGTCTTGTAAAAGGAACAACACATGATACTATTTTAAAAGCAATTTTATTAATGTGAACAATACTTTGAAATTTCTTCAATCATGCCCTTTTAGTTGCTATTTTTTTTAATTTCCAAGATATATATGATCTAATATACTATTCGTCATATCAACAATAGCCAAACAAGTTGTGGGTCTCAAATGGGCTATTTATAATTTTTATACTTTAATTTAAATGTTAATGAGTTCTCTTAGATTATTTTAAGGAGGTCAACTCGTTGAGTAGATTCACTTTGTTATGGCTAAAAAAAAATACAATCTCTTGTATACTATTTGACCTTCATTGGGCTAGATTCACTTACTAGTGGTTTTTACTTAGAAAAATAAACACCAAATGAATATCTAATCATTGGTTCAACAAGAACATATTTATGATTACTTTTTCCTTTTATTCCTATTTTTCAACATCAAAGAACTTAAAAAACCTTGAACTATGTAGGCTAACTATATTTCCAATACAATAAGTTGTGTTTAATTAACTTTAAACCAAGTAAGAATGCCATAAAATAAGGGAATGTGGTATAAAATTATATAATCCATTAACTGATGAAGAAAAGACATCCTTGAACCTTTTTTAGTCTCAAACTACATGAATGGCACCACCCAAAATTTATTGATGAGTGGGAAGCTGATATAATTGGCAACAAGAAAATAGTGATAATTAAAATTAAAAAAATGATTAGAAAATTTAAATTTGTACACTTGATCTTCTATAACTAGAGAAGTAATCATACTTACCAAAAAAAATGGAGCTCAGTGATATTAATGAAACATAAATATTTGTTGAGAATGGATGTAAAGTATTTTAGAATATAATCTCAGTGATATTAAATCTACTTAATTCAATCAATTGGGTCAATATCCATGAATAACCATTGCTAGATTTACTTGATTATTGTTAAGAAGTGAAATATTTACTTTCTACTACTTAATTGAATGTAGGGAATATAAGAGCACAATTTCAACAACAATATGCTCATTTAATAGACGGAGCTGATTGTCTTGGTGGTGCAAAAGTAATAATATTTAAATCTTTTAACATAGTCAAGTAGATTTTGAAATGTAACTCAATAAATATAGTTTCATAATCATGTAGGTTTAATAAAGGACATTAGAAAGCCTATATTTAGACATATTTATTTTATTAAATGGTGATGGCCTTACTACTATCATAGTTTTCTTTAGACAAGGTGGGTCAACTCATTAGTTATCTAGTTTCTCTAAACTAAGATACAAGTTTGCTTAGCATGTGTCTTGATTTAAGATGGGGCTACAAAGTGTTAACCAAATGGATTGTGTATAAAATAATATTAGCCATCATAATTTGGAATGTACAATACCCTTTTAACCTTTTATTTATTTTTTCAACACTAAAATGCAAATGACTCCAAAAACTAATAATCAAGATATCATTCTAGATTGTCAACCAATGCAATTTGGTTTAGTTAGTTGCAATAGATGCCCTCATCCATACCTAATCTGAAGTGGATTAAAAAGCTGATTGATTAAAGTCAATTAAAGCAAGTTAAGGATTGTATTCAAGCCCTCACTAGGGGACAAAAACATAGTCGCCCATAGTTTGCTTCAACATATGTTCACTTTTTTGTCTCTTTGTATTTAGATATTTACTTCTTACACATAGAAATTAAAAGGTGACAATGGATAGACTAGCTAGGCCCTGAGTTGTAGGCATATGTCTTGTCAATTGATTGCTACACTAGTATTTGTAGTGAATCTCCCTATTAAGCTGCCTTGCACTACAATAGAGACTCCAAATTCTTTAGCAAACACAAACCTTTTGATCATTTCTTCACAAGTACCCACAATGCTTGGGTTTGCTTGACTCAATCTCCATAGCCCTAGTGGTGATTGCTAATGGTTGATGCACAAATTTTATGATGTAGTTTTTCTTGTTCCCTTGAGTTAAGGGTCCAAATTCCCTTGAGTTAGAAACTTTTCCTCAGTTTTTCTATGTACACAAAAAAACCTCTCTAAATAACCCACAATCCTTGTCTTTTGATGGGGTATTCAATATTGGCTGCCCAAATTTTCTATAAGCAGTGGATTGTGGTCGTTTTTAAACAAGTAATATAATATAGAATCTAAATATTTCCATTTTTTTATTAAATATGTCTAATTTATGTGAACAACTAATCTCTTTAATAATTTTTTTTTGATTTGTTTGGATATGAAGTCTAATATTCTTATGAGAGGTTTTTTTCATGAATGCAAGGCAATGATTCTCATTTTCTCATTTGATATTAGTACATAGATCTCTGAAGCCATTTACTTCATTTTTTATATTTTATTTCCCTTAAATTATTTCTACTTTTCTACCCATTAAATTATTTGTAGACTTTCTTATCTCCATCATTTGATAGAATTCTGTCAAGGTGGGAAAGCGAATTTAAGTACAAGGTGGGTTTTCTATCGATAAAGCAGAAGATTAGTGTTTATTTTAAAATTTTACGGACGTAAGGCATTCAAAATTCCCCCGACAGTGCGTTCCCCACTGTCCTTTTTATTCAGTGCGCAGGCGCTCCCGCCTTCCCCCCTCCCTCTTCCGAGGTTTCGAGCGCAAATAATGGAGATCCCCTCGGTAACTGTTAGTTCGTGCTCCAGGGAGCATCAGAAGATCTACCAGGAATGGTTCTCCTACGCTGATTCAGGTTAAGCCGCATCCTCATTTCCCCTGCATACCGTTGTTGCTTCCGCCTCTACTTGGCTATTGTGATGCGGATATCCGAGTGGGTGGATCATTCCCGGATCCGACTGCAGATGGCGATGGACGCATCACTGGGCCGGATGCGATCAAGTTCTTTGCCATGTCCAAGTTGTCCCGGCCGGAGCTTAAACAGGTAACTCCCTTCCGTACATTCTATTTTTTCTTAACCTTGTGTCATCTGTAAAAATCATATGTTATATTTATTTTATTATTTTTTGTATTCTCTGCTTCCCGTTTGTTTCTTTTCTGGGTTAGCAATCTCATGGCTCTATGACATTGTTTTCTGTGTTGGTTTGTGATAACTCTTTTCTATTAAAGTTACGAACTTTTGTCGGGATGATAGCAACTTCTCACTTCAACCCGCATATGGAGGGCTTTCCCTCTCCAGAAGGTTTCTTTTGGACCAGACTGCTTCTTCTTAGATTTCTTTATTGCTTAAATACCACTACGGTTTATTTGAAACTAATCATCTAGCCTGACTTAAAAAGACATCTTATGATGTTATACACCGGTGCTTGCTTAATTTTTTGATAGCCTAGCAACTTCTGTTTTCAGATGTTACTGTGTTAAGCGTCCATTTTATACCTGTGTCTATTCCTAATGTCCAGCTTAGCATCGGATGTTAGTTCAGCAATTATTCAAGCCATGCATGGATCACATATTTGATTAACATTGCTGCTTCTGCATTCTTGTTTACTGAGTACGTGTTAATGTATTGTCAGTGTACCATCTATCTTCCTGTTTAAGATGATGATCATTCCTGTCATGTTTATTGTAATATGTGAAGATGGAGTTCAAATGAACCATTCAACCATGACTGAGCCATGTTATAGGGGAATAGTTATGGTATAATGTAATGACCTGCTGCCGAAATCTGGTTTGGATTTCTATGGAATAATTTGATAAAGTTATTTTGTGACGATGTAGTCCTGAAGAGAACATTTTCTCACCAGCCACTGACCAACCAAGGGTCTCTATTTTTTTCAAAGGCCTTCTGAGACCCAAAGATCAAGCAGTAAAAGGCCTAAAGGTAAAAACTGCTATATAACGAAGTATATAACCCAGATATGGTTATCGGGTTTGGGATCCCGAAACCCAATTTTCAGGCATAGAAAAAAACTCAATATAGGCAGTACTGCCAAGCAGTGTACTCTTCGCATTGTCATCAAATGACGATCCAACACAAAAGACAATGATAAAATCAAGCACTCTCTCTAAATATTTAGTATTGTGCTTTCATCCAATATTTCTTCTGTCCCACTAATGAAAAAACTACAAATTGCTAATATTTAAGGCGGTTCATTAAAAAAAGTGGCCTCCTAAGTTTGTATTCTCCTAGTTTATGCGCAAGGATATTATGCACATTGTGACAATGTAATAAGCAGGTAAGGTTGACCTTGACAAAAGTTTTCGCTCCAATGAGGTGCATTACCCTCACAACAAGATTCGGCTTGTAAGAATAGAAAAGAATCAAGAGCTATCTTGAGAAAAGAATGAAAAGAAGGAATCTTAAAAAAAAAAAGAGAATATTAACACAGTTTTTAGTGAACAAGCATAAATAGCACATGCCAATTAACAAAGACATGGCAGGGGATTCTCACATACCAATACCTCTCTTTCTCTCGCAAGAAACAAATGCACTATAGCATGCCAATAAGGAAAAAGTCAAACAAAATGTGCCTATCATACATGGTTTTCTAGCCGTGTAAAAAAAGGATATTTTCTAGGAATCTATATACAAACAGAGAGGAAACATAGTCCATGAAACTCAAATATGCCTCAATGATAGGCCCTTCTACCGTCAAGAAAATAAAACACCAATACATGGTATCATAAATCTATAACAAGATGAGGATAGGGAAAGGCACGGTTAGTACCCTGATATATCTCCTACCTGTGCTTTACTATAAGTTTTCCAGTAGTTATTTTCTCAATTTCTGGCTTCTTGCGTTTGCCTTTGTATTTTCCTTCCACTTGTCTGATCTCTGACTTTTTTTTGGTAATAAGAGGGGTCTTGGTAGCCATTCGCTTCCTCTAACTTTTTCACATGGCTCATGTCTCTGAGGAATACTGCCTGTTATTAAGTCCTGTTATTAAATTATTCTCTCTCCCGCCCACTCCCCCTCTTGCCTACATATATATCTATTTTATCTTTTTTCAATTTCATGTAATATATCTTTATCTGAACATATCGACATTTCATTTGTTTGGTTTTGCTCATTGGGGGCTGCTCTAGCAATCTTATCAAGTATCTTAATGTCTTTGGCTGTTTTGTTGATCTTCTGTTCTCAATTTGTGCCTCCCGTTGTATATATTTACCCCTCTTTCAAACCATTTTGGCTGTTTTATACTGTAGCCGGTCGAATTACTGCATTCAGTCATCCTCTCTTCCTTGCCCTGCAGCCCCCCCGCCCCTGCCCCCCATCTGTCTCATTAAAATGTAACTCTCTTTCTATCACCTCTACCCCTTACTTTTTCATTTTTTTTCTGTATCTTATTAATATCTTCTCTCTGACTCCCTCTTTCTTTAACTACATCTGTCTTTCTCTTTGTCAATTTTTTCTGTATTTATCTTATTCTGCATCTCTTTCTATTTATTCATCTTTCATCTGTTTTTAGCTCTCTTTTACCTCTTCAATTCCTTCCTTTCCATTCTCTCTCTCTCTCTTCCCAAGTACTTCTGTTTCTTCTCCCTGTTCTTCTTATTCCTCATCTCTCACTGTCTCTCCATCCCTCTCTCTCTCTCTCTCTCTCTCTCTCTCTCTCTCTCCATCTATCTATCTATCTCTCTATTTAATCCTGTCTTTTTGTCCATTTTACCGTAGGTGTGGTAACGCTCTATCTGTTGACAGCCATGCATATACTTTTTCATCAGTGGGATGCTCTTTGGAAACCTGTGATGGAAGTTTGGACACTCAAACAATTGAATTGTTTGGCCAAAGCAAGATCTTGGTTCAGCACTTTCTGACTTGCACTTTAATGCAATGAATAGGGTACTTGAATGAATAGCCCTGTTCGCTTACAATCTAACATTTGATTTTTAATTTGAAAGCGGGTATTTGATATTCATTTACCTAATTATTTCCCATCTTTTGACCTACGAAGATAACATAAAACTTGATGCTTTCCTGTGCTTGTGTTGCTGACATATCTCCATCACTCCTATCTCCTGTCATGTGACAGGCTAACTGCAGGAAATTTCTATTTCTAGTTTGTTCATGCGGATAATCACCTTGTCATGAGATTATATACTTCTTAGTATTCATTCTTGAAGTAAATAACGTCTGCCAGGTTGCCATTGTATCAGTATTCGTATCCTAAAAATGCCTTCAGGGAATACTCTATTCTCCTCTGAAGATTTTGCTATCTTAGTCTTTGAAATATCAATGATGAATCTCCAGCTTTCTATTTCATAATCTACCATCATATCTACAAAAATAATTTTGATTATACACTCCTTTAATTTTCTCCACTTCATGCGGAAGGAAGAAAATCGAATTTGTAGTCTCATTATTTGTTGGTATTTTTTTTCTTAATCGACTTTAGTGACTACTATATTTTGTTGGTTTTGAGCCATACTCTTCCCAAAAAGTGAATTATTCTCAGATGGCATTTATATTTGACTTACAATTTTTTGTTCTTCACCTTGCGTAACTCATTCCTTTTTCTTGGTCTAGTGGGATGAAAATTTCTTTTTATCAAAGAAAGTGACGATAATTGCGTAAACATTGCTTTAATTGCCTAAACATGGCTGTTCAAATTCTATTCCTTGCGACTCTGGAACTTTAGTCCACTATATAATAGAAATTACTTTCTAAACAATGTTTTTCAGTTCTACGTTTTTCTTACTTCATTGGGATCATCAATTGTGCTGAAATTATTAATGTAGTATGAATTGTTTTTATTTACTAAGAGGAAATTTTCTATTTTCTTACTTTTTTTAAGCCTCTTGGATGTTAAAATAGGCCCCGTTTTCTATCCGAATTCATTGATTGGGAACAGGCTGAGGGTTCCAGTTCCAATTTCATTAGATGAAAACTCAAAACTAGTGTGAAATTTTTGAAAGAATGGAAGAAAATTGGTGGATTTCATTTGACTTTCTGATTTTGGCCTGGTCTATTGGCTAAGGGCCTGATCTCTTTCAACTAAGGTAGAGTCAGGGAAATGATGCTCCGTATCTCAGAAAACCATATAATATCAGTTATGAATTAACGTGGTTTGAAATGTTTTCGCTGAAGGTTTGGGCAGTTGCTGACTCAAAACGCCAAGGATATCTCGCCTTTAGGGACTTCATCACAGCAATGCAGGTCGTCATTTTTGTTTGTTTTAGAAGCTTTTGGGACTTGGATAAATTTAAACCGTGGTTGATCTATGGTTACCATGGCTATTCTTTTGGGTGTGCAGCTTGTTGCTCTGGCACAAGCAGGACATGAGATCACTCAGGAAACCCTCTCTTCTGAAGGTAAGAAAAGGGGAGAACTGTCGTACTGCAGGCAAAAATGTGTTCTTGCATGCTGTTTGTGAGAACCTTGCTGATATTTTGTGATTAAAGATAAGTACCAAATTGCTGTCTTGTGTCAGTGGACTTGGAGAACTTAAAGCCCCCTACGATGGATGGTTTGGATTCACTTTTGGCCGTAAGATTTAATTTAATTTTCTTTACAACCTATTGATTTAAAGTTTTTCACTTTAGCTGCTTTTTATTTTTCTTACTCATCAATCTTTTTTCTAGAAAAATAAAGCTTCACCCAAGAAAAGGGAACCTGACACAGATGGTAACAAAGTTCGACTTTAATGACACAATACGTTGTCATTTTATTTGTGTAGCTTTTAATTAAGTCTTATTATTGTCACAGTAGTTCCTCAACCTCCACCACAATCAGTTCAGTGGTTTTCCTCAAAATCGGCGAAGAAGGTAATTTTCTGTGGGAAGGAGAAGAATCTTATTACTTTCAGTGTCATTTTAACTGTTATTAATTTCATATGGAATAGCTGAATAGTGGGTCCTATTAGCCTCTTTTGCTGCTCCTTGGCATCAATGATGCAGATTGCTGTTTTGCTTTACCAGAAAGGACTATGCCATTTTATAAGTGCAGTTCATCTGCTGAGTGGACTCCATGAATTGGAAGAAATATGTTTTCTATTTTTCTGGTCAGCCACTTTCTTCCTTGGCTTCATAGTTTCTCTATTGCTTAGATGCATGTGGAGTCCTACAAGCAGCATTAGAGTTTTATGGTCAGCATTAGAAGTCAGTAGACTTTCTCCCATGATGCAGCATCTGGCATAAAATGCGAAATGTTGGGCGATTCAATATTTCTTGGATCTATCTTTTACTGTCTAAAAGATTAATACTTGCATGCACACTTCTTTCTGCAGTCAACTGCATCTGATGTATGATGAAGTGGTGTACGTGTACACTATGCTGTCAGACTTGATTCTGGAGAATTTTCTGATGGTTGATATTTAAATTATAGTTGATTTAATCCTTGTTTGATCGGCTTGATAATATCAATTTATTTTAATTTTCTTAGCAACTGAGGGATGAGTTATGCTCACAAATACACATGCCATACCGATTGATGCTACTCTATAATTTTGGTAAAGTGTAGTACTTATTCCTGAGACATCTCCTGCTAGTTTATTTTGAGTACTGCTGTAAGTTATGGCTACATATTATTGAATGACTTGGACAGTGGAAATCCAATTTGTTTAAGGGTTGTTTTGTCTTTCAGAATCGGGGTCGCGATATTGTACCAATTCCAGTTTTGATTATTTTTTGATTGATGGTTAATGTTCAGGTGCCATTGAACTCAGTTACATCGATTATTGATGGCCTGAAGAGGTTATATCTTGAAAAGCTGAAGCCATTAGAAGTGACGTATCGTTTTAATGATTTTGTTTCTCCTTTATTGGTGAGTCAATTTATATTTGTAATTCCTTTGCGTGTCTCTTTTTTTCCATTAGAAATTTTGGAACTTATTTTTTACTATTATTTGATAAATTCTATTTCCACCCCAGATTAATATCATTTTACTTCAAAGAAGATTTTTGAAGACTGATTTTAGTAAAATACTCTTTTTGCAGACAAATAGTGACTTTGATGCCAAGCCAATGGTAATGCTATTGGGTCAATATTCTACTGGGAAAACGACATTTATAAAGCATTTACTTCGAACAAGTTATCCAGGTTGCTGCGAGCTGTTCTGTTGCATGAACATTTCTCTACCGAATGTTTGTTTCGGCTTGTTGAATTCTTTCATTCATTTCAGGTGCTCATATTGGGCCAGAGCCTACAACTGATAGGTTTGTTGTTGTCATGGTATGTTTTTCGCATATTAAATTTATCATTATGATTGGCTGATATAAGTTTTTGGTAGTTTTTCATATTTTAATCCTTTTGTGTAGTAAGGTGCAATTTTGAATGTGAATGACACGTATTTTCCTGCTGATATCAGCACCGTGCTTTCTTTATTATATATTTACATAGGGTCCCTGAATCAGTACGTTGAGCTAGGATCTATTATTCTGTTGTCATGATTTTGAGCTTGCATGAGTCGTAGGATGTATTATACTAGGATAATTTGGGTACAGTTATTGGTGCCAAATGTAGACACTGATATGAAAGATATTTAAATATATCGCATGTTGATAATCTTAGCATGTATTCATTACTATAATAAAATAGAATCAATTAAATCATATCTGAAGGTATTAGATCTTTCTATTGATTTCCTGAAAATTTTAAAATCATTTAGCTAAAATTTTCCAGGATATCACAAAAATTTCTTTGTTGACTCTGACAGTGTTCTTGTTGAGCTTGTTTCACTTGGGTTTGATATTTTCAAAGACTGCGAATTTAAAGATGATGAATCATCTCATGTAAATGGCTTTCTTCAATTGGGGAGTCTTGTCCTTGGCCAAATCACGACAAAAATGAGAAATGGTTCCGGAATGAGATTTGGTTTTTGTATTGGCTACATTTGTCTGCTTTCTGGTAAAGCAACTGGTCGTAGGTAATCGTTTAGATTTTTCATTAAGAATTATAGTAAAATTAATGCCTTTTTCCCCACAATAGTAAATGGTATACACCGTTTTTATGCAAATTAAGTTGCCTAGTTATTATGTATCTTGAGATATCATGGAGACCACTAGAGACGTTCCTATAAATATGTTGTCATATTGAGCGATGGGGAGTACACAGTAGGGGCTTCGCCATGAAATACAGCCTACACCCAATTGTTGAAGAGAAGAGAATCAAGGATCTTGTACTGATTGTTTTATTAAATTAGTTGGTTTAGGCGAATGCATAGCACCAGTCATTTAGGTTGCCATATTTGTAAGGGAATTGGACATGGATTCATCAATGATCTAATTTTCAATAATCTATTCTTTTTTAAGCTCTGTACTAAGGACTACAGTTTATTTCTTGACCAGTCTGGAGCTGATGGAAGAAGTGTTCCTGGGAATACGATAGCTGTGCAAGCTGACATGCCGTTTAGTGGTCTGACAACATTTGGGACCGCATTCTTATCCAAGTTTGAGTGTTCTCAAATGCCACATCCAGTAAGATTTTATCACATATCCTGGTTATGTGAGCTTAAGGATGCAGACTTACCCCTGGCTCTCTCTCCTATGAAAGCTTCTGGAGCATATTACATTTGTTGATACCCCTGGAGTTCTTTCTGGAGAAAAGCAACGGACACAACGTAGCTATGACTTCACTGGAGTCACCTCATGGTTTGCTGCAAAGTGTGATCTTATTCTTCTTTTGTTTGATCCACATAAACTTGATATTAGCGATGAATTCAAGCGTGTTATTGGATCTCTTCGTGGTCATGATGACAAAATCCGTGTTGTTTTGAATAAAGCAGATCAAGTTGACACACAACAGGTATCATTTGCTTACCTTGTGGTATCATATTTCAGTCGCAGTACATTGTTGTTTTGTCTTCCCATACTTTTTCTGGAATTTTTTTTCAGTTAATGAGAGTTTATGGAGCTCTAATGTGGTCACTTGGAAAAGTTCTGAATACTCCTGAGGTGATGCGGGTTTATATCGGGTACGACCTCCGTCCTTATAGTGCTTATTTTACATTTAGTTTTAGTTCACAATTGAGACCTGATTCTTGTGTTATTGGTGGACTTTCTTTTGCAAGTGGACTTCCTTTGATCTGTCATGACTGCTGTCCTTTTGAGTTGAAGTTTGTTCTGTGAATTCCTAAAATAATTCAAAATATTGTATGCCTTTCATGTTCAACAGATCCTTTAATGACAAACCTGTGAATGAAGAAGCTGTTGGTCCAATTGGGAAAGAATTGTTTGAAAGGGAGCAAGACGACCTTCTTGCTGATTTGAAAGATATCCCTAAGAAGGCTTGTGATAGGAGGGTGAGTTTCCCCTTTCTTAAGCCTGGCTATGATGGTGTTAATTGTTTTCTCCCCTGTCCAATGCGAATTTCTCCTGCTTCAGATCAATGAATTTGTCAAGCGAGCTAGGGCAGCCAAAATACACGCATACATTATTAGCCATCTTAGAAAGGAGATGCCTGCAATGATGGGGAAGGCAAAGGCTCAGCAGAGGCTCATTGATAACCTGGAGAGTGAGTTTGCAAAGGTAAGAATTTCTCTCATGCTCTCCATTTTGCCATTTTTGACCTATACTCCTACTTACTAAGCATAGTAAATGCATTTTGTATTTCAAATATTTTCGCCAAATCTCGTTATCATCTCTAGAATGGCATTTTCTCAACTTGGAATGCCTTTTCAGAGATATTTTAGTTACATCTTTAGTTTTGTTGGATTTAGCTCCATCCCCAAAAGTGAAACAATTCATCCCAACCGTTAAGATAAATGTACCCCTAACGCACCCCAACCGTTCATGGGCCGGCTCTGGGTCCGGGTATTGGACTTGTGATGTAAAAGCCCACAAAATGGTAAAGCGGTGTGGGTGGTGGCGCAGCTTGGCGCATGGATTATCTGCCACTGAAGCATGCCCTGGCCTTGTCAGTAATTTTCTGACTTAGACTCGTCGACACATTGATATGTGTGTCAAGTGTTTTAAGACGATTTTCCCGCTTCTGAAGGAAGGAGTGTCGATTTATGTGTTTTGATGAATCAAATGGATATGAAAGTGTGTAAGTCAAACTTCCGCTTTTGTGAATTCAGAGTATCCTAATCATGTCCTGAAACTATCAAGCGAACAAATGAACTAAATTTAATGGTTTAGATCATCATCCAGGTATTAGTTCAACAATGACATACTAAATTTATTCTTTTAATCTCTTTATGATTAAAACAGAGATTTTTTCCTCTTTTTTAGACTTTTTAAAAAAAATGGTCTTTCTGATTCACCCTCATTTATTCTACGATTTACTGTAATGAATAATTTTGGGTCTAATGAATAAATTATCGGATGGCATATTAACCTCCTGCAGACAACAGATTCATATTATCTCCTCCCCTTCTTTCTGCTTAGATTCTAAGGGTTTTTTTGATTTCTTAGCATAGAACAGCTACTACTGTTGCTTCCTCTTCCTCTTTCTGTAGATCCATGCGACTTTCCCTAATTTTCTTTCTCAACCGGAGATGTGGTGTTAAAGTGTTCTGATTAGCGGAGTCTAACAGGTCCAGAGGGAGTTCCATCTACCACCGGGGGATCTCCCCAACGTTGACCATTTCAAAGAGGTCTTGGCGGGCTACAGCATCGACAGGTTTGAGAAGTTGAAACCGAGGATGATCCAGGCGGTGGATGATATGCTCGGATATGACATCCCAGACCTCCTGAAGAACTTCCGAAACCCTTATGAGTAAGTGGCAACGCATGTCCTCTGAGCAGGTGGCATCCGAATAAATTTTATGAGGTATGCACGGTAAATAGATCCTATTAAATGTCGTCTACCTTATGAAAGAGTGAAGTAACTTGGTGATTTATTGTGCCTTGTTCAAATCAAATTATTTCCATCGGACAATACCCTTGTGGGCCCCTCTATGCATCAATCACCCGACGAGGGTTGTTTCTGTGAATCGTCTATCATTAGAAAACTCTTACTAGGTGGGGTTTAGCATCTTTCTGGGAGGCCAGAAAGATGGCTTTTTTTTTTTTTTTTTTTCTTTCTTTCTTTCTTGGTGTCTTGATGGCGTGAGAATATTGTGAGTTCTTTGCATTTATCTATTAATGATTCAAATCAGGAAGAGGGAGAGATCCATTAATTGAAGCAGAAATACAGAAAACCCATCAATCACAATGGAATTTTTATTTTTTATTTTTTATTTTTTACATATCGCCCCAGCAGGCACCAATCTTAGCAGATGCACGAAGGATATGGCACAATCTAGTCGCAACACTTGCAGAACCCCAGAAATGGCAATCATAGATGAGGATGATTGCAGATGGTAGCTTTCTCTATCCGGCAAGCCGAGCACTTTTGGAAATAAATGGTGCTGAGAAATTTTCTTTTCCTTATGGGATTTTCCTCAGCTTATAATCATAATCCCTGTTCTTATTGGTTCAACTTTCCCTCCATACATAAGTTTTCACTCTTCATAAGTCGTCACCTGCTTCCAATCACTTGTAGTCCTTGAACTTGCTTGTTTAGTGAACAATGGTCCAGACTTTGGGTGTATATTCGGATGTGTCATTGATATCATTATAATTTGATGGACCAACTGAGATTAAACGCTAGTGGGTTCAACTTTGCTACATCATCAACACTAAATATTCTCTTAATTGAAGCATAGTCGAAAGTAAATATAATCCATGATGTAAAAACCTGCCTAAAACCTTGCTGCATTGTTTTAGAAATCATTATGATCTTGGAGAAGTAGACTAGCCTATTTTTTTTGGTTATTTTTTGTTCTAAAATTGTAGCCAAGGTTCGATTTTTATTGATGAGCAGCGCCAAATGGATCTAGCCCTATTTTTAATTCATTTTGCAGAGAAAGTATGGAAAAAATAAATAAATTAGTTACCTAGATAGAAACCCATTTTATGGATCTTATAAGTAATCATTGGATTAATTTTTTTGAAGCTACTGAAAAAGGACGTGGGCGAAGAGAGATTTTCTGGATGCCTGCTTATGATTGTCAATTACCCATCGAGTGGTCTTTAATTTTTTATTTATTTACTTATCTCGAAGCCCACATATTATTTATGATAATCCGCGAATATGGCTTCGTCGTCGTATTGTTAACTCTAGGCCAATTATTTGCCGGGCATGATACGACGTTAATGTCCATTAGGCCGCCCACCGGGTCGGCGGCGTGGTACAGTGGGCGAGGTGTCGACGTCCGCCCAAGCCAGGGAGGGGGGGCAGGAAACTACAGCCGGAGGCCACTAGTGGCGCCGCCGGCAGATGCAGAGGTGAGCACCAGTGGCTCTGCCGTTTTCCTCACCGGCAGTCATGCTGACGGTAATCGGGGAAAAATCCTCGGGTTGAATCGATCAGAGACCATCTTTCTGGCCGGATTCTTGGGAAACCAGTCGAAGAACAGATTCTGGGAGAAAAATTGTTAGAAACCCGATGATTCGAGCGGAGATTTCCCCTCTGTTCTCAGATTTTGGGAGCTACTCAGAGGCATCGAATTAGTGCACAAGTGAAAAACCAGTACAAGGAGACACCCAAGAACAAGCCCCCGAGTAAGCGTCGCCGGCTTCCTCCCTTCTCGCCACCGGCGATCCGGTTCTTCCTCTGGCCGACGGGGGAGCTGCCCTGCCTGAGAGGATGCAGGAGGAGACCTATCCAAGGACTATAAACCTTTTTTGCGCAGGAAGATGACCGGAGATATCAGAATCAGAGATCGGGCTGTTCCTCCGATCGATCAATTATTCCGATGCGTCGCCGCCCGGCCGGCGGCTGGTCAGAGGCGGAGGGCCGTGCATTGGAAGCAGTCGTCATCGCCGCCCAGGGGAAGGAGGTTCAGATCGAAGGCCGACGGCGTAGCCTGCGGGTGGTGGCGGAAGGAGGACGAGGCGGCGATGTCGCCGTCGTCCACGACGGAGGAAGAGGATCCGCAGTCGCTGTGGCAGTCGCCGTCGACGCCACCGTTGCCATCGACGACAAACGCCGGCCTGCTGATGGAAGGATGGAGCTGGGAGGCCGAACAGGAGCGCCTCGGGCCGCTGAAGGAATCCACGGTGCTGCTGTAGCCGCTCGTCGTCGGCCGGAGCTTCTGAGGAGGAGGGCGGTGGATCGGCGGCGGCGGGGGAGCAGCGGCGGCGGCGGAGGAGGAGGAAGGGAAGTTGGTCTTGGCCTTGGGGCCGCGGAGGGCGAGCGCCGCCGCGTCGTACGCTCGGGCGGCGGCCTCCGGCGAGTCGAAGGTGCCGAGCCAGACACGAGTCTTCTTCCAGGGGTCCCTGATCTCGGCAGCGAACCGCCCCCACGGCCGGCGGCGGACGCCTCGGAAGGTCATCTCCTTCGCCGATCCGCCGCCAGCTGACGGCGGCGCCTTCGCCGGAGGAGCTCCTGCGGCTCCTCTCCTCCTCTGCATCTCCTCCCTCCTCCCCTTCTTCCTCCGGCGAGATCGGGAGCTCCAAATAGGAGAAAGAAGGGGGGGGGGCGGCGGTGGGAAAGAGGGTCCCCCCCTTCCTTCTTTGGCTTCTGCTTCTTCTGACCGCTACGAATTAAGGGCGTCTCGATCTCCACAACCTTCCCCCCTCCTCTCTACCCTCTCTACCCTCTCTCTCTCTAGCCTCCCTCTTTCTCTACCCTTCCTACTCTCGACCCTTTCTCTCTACACTCTCTCTCTATCTCTGGCCTCCCCCTGACTGCCCTTCCCACTCTCTCGACCTTTTGGACCCTCTGTTTCTCTCTGCTCCCTCTCTTTATCTCTAGCCTCCCCTTCTCTACCCTTCCCACCCTCTCCTGACCGTTTGGACCCTCTTTCTCTCTACTCTCTCTCAGCCCTCACCACCCTCTCTCTCTCTATACCTGTTCTACCCGTTCTACCCTCTCTCTACCAGTTATACCCTCTCTCTACCAGTTATACCCTCTCTCTACCGGTTCTACCCTCTCTCTCTTTCTCTCTATCTCTAGCTTCCCTCTCTTTAAGCCCTCACTACCGACTCTCTCTCGGCTCTCTCACTCTCTCGGCAGACCCACCGGCCCGTCCCAGCTTATGGTCTCCTTCCGCAAAGCCCACGGCTGATCTGGGTAATCGCGGACTGGTCGATGGGGATCCGAGGGACCCAATCGATCCACGTCTCATGATCGAGATACGACCTTTACTAAACTCGTTAAGACATTTATGATGCGTCAGACGGGCGGCCGGTGCGCCTTTCCACCGGTTCTCTCCTCAATCTATCATTTATTGGAGAAAATTAAATATCGGACGGCTGTGATGGTGCGCTGGCCTGCGGCCGTCAACGAGGGCCCTCCAAGTGGTTGATCTGTTTCTCTCCCCTTCCGGCGCCGGACCTGCGACGGTGATGACGCTCCGTGGCGCGTACGTCATTCCCCCCCCCTCTCTCTCTCTCTCTCTAGAGACCCCACTACGCAATAATATAAGCGTGAATTTAGTAGTTTTCTTATTTAAGTAATTAACATCATTCAGCATCGGATTTTAAGAAGATTTATCCACTACTTTTCTCCTCTAGAATCAGGCTTCGCAATTCTGTTGACCAGATCATCTCTCCCTTACTCTTCTCTCTATGGAGAAAGTCAACAGGTCCATTGGGCATAGCTACCGACATAATAAGTAAGTAACTTTCTCTTGCCTAGAAAAGATATCATGATTTGAAACCTACAACCCATGAGCCCCAAGACTTATACTAGCGGACTATACTAGGACTTATCATGAACAATGAACTAGCGCCTAATGGCGTGAATGATCCTAAGATATGTCCAAAAGTCAACGATTCCATAGATCTTCCACTTGCTCATGCCGACAAGATCAGGATTTTTGCTGCCATTTCACCCTATGCATCAAAAAATATCTCAGATAGTAAAAAAATCATATTTTTGAAATATCTTAGGAATAATTTTCCGCAGACGTCCACTTTCCAAAGTTGGCTCATTTTCTCAGTGTGTGTGGTCAATGAGAGAGGTAGTAATGGCGGAGAGAGAGGGAAGACGATGACTGTGGTGGGGACTGTTGACTTGACTTGGAAGTTCGTTGACAAACAGGATAGCGACGATCGTGTGGGGCCCCAAGATTGCAGACCTGGCACGGTTGGTTATCTCGAGAGATGCGAACAGGTTCAAAGCTGGCGTAGAAGATCACGAGGATAAGGAGGGTTGACGCAGGAGGGCCACCTCTTGTAGAACCGAAGAGCCACAGCTGCACCGTTAAAGAGACTTCTAAAAGCAGCATCGGATAAGCATGCTTTAATCATCATTATGGGTGACAATTAAAGAAATATATTTCTCATAAAATATCATTATATGCGTGATATCCCAGGATCCAACAAAGAGATCTCGAAGAGAAGAAGAAAATTAAATCGCATGCATGCCATGCATGCTATGCTAGACCATGATGTGGCTGGTGAATCACAATCTCTTGTGGCATGCAAGTGCACGATTGAAAGCCTGGGAGGATGCAAAAATCTCATCTATGGTTGGGTGCAAAAACTAATGGGCACGTATTGAAGATGATTGATCCCATCTAAGGTAAGATCGCCGATAGAAATCTTGATGGTAGTGAGTGACATTGTCTTGGATCATTTCACAGCATAAGATAAAGGGATTTTATTGATTCCATGAACATCAGCTATATTTCTCTCAACTAAATTTTGAAAACCAATAGAAACCTAGTTATTCTGTGATTCTGATCACTAGTGATTTTGTCCTTAAGAGATCATTGACTAAGGAGTAGCAAAAAACTATAATAAATTTGAGAATAATAGATACAATAAATTCGTGATATTATGATCTATCCACTTTACATTCTTTCTTATTGTATCAAGTCAATCATGACAATCCAATGTGTCAACCCAACTCAGTTTGTATTAACCCATTCGCTACAAAACTTGAAGAAAATGTTAAAAAAATAAAAATTAGGAAAAACAATTTAAAACCAATTCACCCATCTTATTATACACAACCCAGATTGAAACCAATTAAGTTCCACATTAGTTCAACGCATTAAATAAGAATGAGAAATAGACACATAATTTTGAAGATGAACAAAAATAGATAAAATGGTAAAATGATAATCTCAAAATGATAGTATTTTATTGACTGATGTTCTAGAATCATTCTAGATAAGGATATGTCATAAACTAATGAAATACTCAGTGATAAAGTGGATCATATAGACCTTTACATAATAGAGCTTTTTGTTATAAACATCTATCACAAGTACAGCCCTGTGTACACATTGGAAATATATTTGAAATAGATTCACAATGGAATGAGCACCACAAAAGAATAAAATATTTCAATTTGTGATGAAGTTTACAATATTAGTTGACAATTCATTAAGCTTAAGTTTAGAAAAGAATATGACAACACATGGCAAGATTTGTAACTATAGTAAAAAAATAACTATTAGGAAGCCAAAAATGTGGGATATAAAATCATGCCCACCTCTCTTTTGGTTTCTCATGCTACCTTAATTGAATCAATAAGGCTCTTTAAAAAAGTATCATGACTCTTAATAGACTCGTAAACTTATTTTAATAGATATAATGTCTCCTTGGGTTAATTTTCCTTTCTATGAATTTGGTGTAACAATTTTATTTTAGATAAAGTTTTTAAAAAATAATCATTTAAAAAATTATCAAGATATATTATGAAGATATAATTATTTTTTTAATTAATTTTTATTTCTTTAAAATTGATTCCCCTTACGTGTCATTTATAGAATTTTTTAGAAAAAAGTTTATGCATATTCAATAACAAACTAAATGGTTTTATGATGGTAGTTTCCTCTATAGAATCAACTCCTGATTTTTAGCTTAAATAAACTCAGAAAATATCATTTTTAATCTGTAATATTTAAAACAATTCGAGATTTTCTTGGTTACCTTCGTTTTAAATTTTATTACCCTCAAGCCCCAATTGAACCCTATTTCAATATCTATAAAACCATTTTCATTTAATTCAAGAATTTAAGGTAAAGATTGGGTGCTTTTCATGGTTTCTTGCCAAATATAGAATGTATATAACTCTCTTTCTAAGGAACTTGGTAGGAAACGTTTTCTTTAACTTAGAGGTCAAATGAAAAGAATAATTTTTTTTATCAATACTTTAGGTTTTCATCGTTATTTCTCAATGGAGAATTTAACCCAATATAATCCGGTCTAAATCATTATTCCACTACCATGTTTTTATTTCTTATCATTAAATTTATTCCAAAATTTCCCAAGCACGCCAAATCACTCGTCTCATCCAAAGTCGTAAGAAAATGTTTATTAGTACTTTTTTTATTATCTGAAGAAAATCGCTCCAGGCTGAGCTCTACAGTCCAATTGTTCCACATATTTTCCTCCTGCTTTTCTCCCACTGTGCGAAGCGAAGCAATCAGCCGGAACTGCTGATCACCGTTGGCGCCGAGGCTGAGCAGAGAAGCATGAACAGGCGAAGAGACACAGAGAGAGAGAGAGAGAGAGAGAGAGAGGGGTAGACCTTGAAGACAGGAAGGTTCCGGTCCATGGTGGACGTCGTCACCGTTGTCGGCGTCGGAGCCTGTACATAGTCATCGCCGGTGTCCACGCCGCCGTGCATCATCATGCTCCTGCCGTCAGGCCTTGGTCGACGAAGATTCCTGCTCCGATCATCAACTTCCTAGAATTCTTCGGGGCACCCAACTTCTGGTGACAACGGAAGACCGCCGGCGATACGCATTTAACCAAACAGAGAAAATATGCAGACATGTTCCTCCGCCGACGAGGAGGAAGAAGAAGAAAACCGGCAGCTGCATCTATGACCAGGAAAGGAAAGCAACTCAAGAAAACTCGGCCGATCGAAGAAAACTCGGAGTAAATATCCGACGGATCGACGACCGCAGAAGCGGAAAACGATTCGAGAAAAATGTCAGAGAAATCCATCATCGTGCGTACAAGAGAAAGAAGAAGAAAACTCGGGCGGGCGGCGGGCTAGAAGGGGAGAACCGGGCTCTTCCCGGCCCCGTCTGTCTACCCTTCTTGTCCCCTGTACATTACCTGATGCGGCTGAAGCTGGAGAATGGCTCTAGGTCCGGAGGGGGCTTCGGAGGCGACCTCCTCGTCGTCTCCGGCGATCCAAAGACGTTCCAGAACCTCAGCGTCTCGTCACCCGACACCGACGCCACAGTGCACCCATCCGGGCTCTGCGAAGCCGATATCTCGCCGTCATACCAGCATTATAGACAACAGCTGGGAATAAACCGACAGGATCTGGGGGGATTTTGGTCCATACCACGGCCGTGCACAAGACTCGGGAACTGTGGCCGGTGAGGTCGATAATCTTCCTAAAAGAGGGGTACTTCCACAAAGTCAGCTGGTTCTGACCGAACCCATGGGAGCTTAGCAGCTCCTTCTCCTTCTTGCTCCACAGCAGGGAACAGACCTG